TTATCTTGTTTAGAAACTGATATTTGTACCCATATAATGATACAGATAAAAAAAAAAAAACTCTACTCATTTTAGAGTTGTTATTGTGGAATGGGGGCTGAGACTCGGAGTATGTCCAAGAGGCAAGGGCATGACAGACTCACCAGGTTTGGGTAATTGCAGCACTAGCAGTGAGTCTTATCAACTACAGCTTTGTCATTACTATGAATTTTCTATGAACTTTAAGAAAACTACTCATGTGCACAAATTTTAAAATGTTTACATCAAAATCAGCTTTCAATCCATTTTCCATGAATGCTTTGAAAATCATTTACATAGGTTTCAGTACTATCCGGTTTCAGGCAGCAAGCGGGGAGTCTTGGGACATCTCCCCCACAGAGACGGGGAGGCACAACACTCCATGATTCTAGTATGGGTGCCAGGACCAAATTCTTCGTCCAAGCCAGAAGAAACCTGAGTGTAACATGTCATTCTCCTATACTCATCTACCTCTTCAAGTCACTAACTTTCATATTCTCATGCCAACAAACATCAAGTTAAAATGCTTTACCTTCTGACCACCTCTCAGAAACACCCGGCGAGTACTCCACAGCTTTCAGGAACAGCCCAGTCTCTTTGGTTTATCCTAGAAGACTTTAGGTATAGGTCTCTGCCCTGACCCTTCCACCCTCATCCTTTCTAACACTCTCATTTCAGAATCCGGCAATCCAGCTGACTTGATTTTGCACAATTCCTGGAATGTCAGGGTCAAGGCTCCTGGTCCTTTCTAAACTGGCCTCCATTTCTCCTTCCTTCCTTGTTAATTCCTACTCTCTGTGAGCAGGAGTGAAAAGCTAGAAACTCCCTCTTGTGTTACTAATGAGTCAATGCATTTAATATTTCCCTGATAAACCTTACGGCCTAAATGCATGCAATGGGAGGCCCAGGCTAGCTATATAAAGGATAGTAAGATGAGTGGCTGGATGAGCAGCTGCTCCTCCTCCTGTCATCCTGGGCTGCTTGCTGTTTCCAGGTGAAAAGGTGAAAAGCAGACCTGCTCTGTTCTTCCCTGTCCCAGGAGTCTGGGGGACTCATTGGAGGGCAGGTTCTGGAGGTCATGGTGTGAAGCTGAGTCAGTCCTGTGACCTTCTCTTACGATTTATTCTTTCTGGGGTCACATGGAACACAGCACCACGCCTGGATCCCTGTGCCTCCTGACAGTATCCCAGTAGTGACAAGGTCAGTAATACTTTGCATCCATCTGCGGCAATTTGGGATTGCCCAGCAGGAAGGAGTGGTCCTTTAACGGACATAAAGAAGTCACAAAGAGGCAGCAAAGCACTCCTGAGATGTGCATGTTCTTTTAAAAGAGCTTGCATTTAGCTCCTCTCTGCCTCCCAGTTGGCTAACACTGCTGAGAAAGGCTGACTTGGGAGGTTCCTCCTCTTCAGACTGTTCTTTGACCATTTTTGTTTGTTCCCTCCTCCCTACTCACTAAGAGTTGATCAAAAACTGAGAGATATTCCCAAAGGCAAGGTCAGGTCAAGGTGGCAGTTTCCATGCTGGAGAAAGGGAGCTGTGGCAGACACATTACAGAGAGCTCTTTTCTGGCATTCAGACACAGTCCTAGTCCTGCTCCCTACCTTGGCCCACTAGCCGCCTCTGCAGCATCCTGCAAGATTGCCAGAAGGGAGCCAACGCAGTGGCAACACTCTCATCCTCACTCTGACAGTCACCAGCAAATTGTTTTCAAGGGTAAACTGCAGCCAGTAGGCGGTGGAGATGCCCAAGTGACTGAGACACAGAGGTGAGTCCTAATCATTCTCAGCTTTTAAACTCCAACCTCACTTCTCAAGTAACAGGTTACATTTATGATAGCTGAACTGCCCCATTTAGTTCTTGTATAGCTCTCTGTTTCTTTTGGGAGCGTGATCATATTCACAATAGCTAACCTGTTACTATTCCCACTGGCCTTCCTACAGCACGTCCTAGAGGAGGAAAACGGACAGCATTTATTCATCTCTGAACCCACAATGCCTAGTCCCCCACCCAAGCACACGGGCACTCATTATAATATTTTTTTCATTGGTTGAACGAATCTCCACATTTACCTAGTCTACACACCTTCCCTGTAAGGTAACACTTTGACTTCCTAAACACAGCTAATAAGGCTGCTCAAAGAGTCTTCAAAATGAGTAAATTTCAAAAGCTGTACGTATATAACTGAGTATGCCACTGCAAAAATGAACGTAAGATTCCAGGAATTACATAAAAACTTGTCAGTGCAGGAGTGTAGTCTAGCAGTTAAAACACAGGTTAACATGTCCCTTTATCAGAGTTCATGGGTTTGATACCCACACCGGCTTCAGAATTCAGCCTCCTGCTAAACAGACCCTTGGAGGCAAGAGTGACAGCTCAAATAACTGGGTTCCTGCCATAATACGCAGAAACCCAAACTGCATTCCTAGCAAAGAGCTTTGGCCTAGCATAGTACTGTACATCGTGGGTGTTGGGAAGGGAACCAGCAGATGGGAGCTGTCAACCTCTTAAGGAAAAAAAAAAAGACTGAAAAAGGAAATTATTTGTCTAAACTCAATTTCCTCATTTGTTATCTATATCCTTACAATACAGAAACATTTTTGTGTTGAGAAAGGCTTACTCTCTCACCTGATGTCATCTAGTTTAATATTAGACACAATTAGAATATAGCACTCATTCTTCTGAATTCCGGGTAAGAATGCTCTCAGCCTTCCATACATCATCCACATGTTTCATTCAGGAAACATATCTCAATAACAAAAAAGATTACTGCTCACATAAAACAGAGCACATTCATTCAGAAAACAGTCATTTTTATTCTTGATAAATTTTTAAATTTTTTGCTTTCAGGCCCATTATACAGTCTTGAAGACAGTATCTAAAATATGAGCAATGAAGTGGCAAGATATAAGGTTATTATAGATGATCAGTTACCTCTGTCTATACTAGAAACAGCTGAAAAAGATTAGATCTCTAAAGGTTAAAAATTACATAATGTTATTGAGAGACATTAAAGAAGACATACACAAGTGAGACATGTGCAATGAAGGAAGGCTTAATACCAAATACCTAATTATCTCTCTACTAAGCTAGAGTAGATGAAAGTCCCATTAAAAACATCATAAGATTTAACCTTACAACCTTCCACTCTGATTTTGAAATTTATGTGGGATCAGAAGAGCCAAGAGTCAAGAGAAAGAACACAATCGATGGATGAGTGGGTAGGAGGATAACAGCAGCCAGATATCAAGACACACCATAAAGCTGCAGTAATTAAGACTGTGTGTCCCTGGAGCAGGGACGCATGGACCAGTAACAGCAGCATGCTAGAAACAACCACACACAGTATAAACTTGTTAGGAGCCTCGTAGGTTCAAGGGAACATGATGGACTCTTCAACAAACAGTCCTGGGATCCTGGCTACTTATAGAACAGACAGATCACTGTTTCTCATCAAACAAAAAAAAAAGCAATTCCAATGGTAAGCACTGATGAAGAACCAGAAGTAGATGGACCAATGGAATAAAAAGATACCTTTTAAACTGGTTCAAAAATTTGAGTTTATATAGTGTTTCTATAACATAAGTTCTTCTGAAGTTGCCAAAGAGCCTTCAAATGTTCAGATTTCAAATCCTGTTTGTACCAAAATAAGCTTACCCTTTAATTACATTTTTTAATTGTTTTTTTTTATACAATTTAGTTGGTGGTGGGCTTTCCCCTCCCCCTTCACAAACTCTGAAAGCATTCATTTCTATGAAAAGTAATGCTAAAGTTTCTAGGGGGGAAATATCTTTAGTACCACAGAAAAAGCCCAAGTCATAAAGATACAGCGTGTGCAGTTTAGTTAGATTAATTATATTCAGCTTTACTAATAATGAAAGACAAACTACATACCTGAAGATATTTGCAACATACAATACTGAAGAACTAATAGCTAGAATCTATCAGGAATTAGTTCAAAAAGGAAGACTAACCAACCAAAAAAAGAAAGAAAAAACAACAAGCGAGGCAAATGTGTATTTTACAGAAATGCTGACTCTCCCAGCACTAAACACAGAGTTGGTCACATGCTTTTTGAGGTATGTTCTGCCAAACTGCATTCTGGAAAATACTACTAATTTACACAGCAACAAATAAATTTACTTTCCCCCTACAACTTGCCCAACGTTGGTCAAAAACATAAAATTGGCCAAATTCGTACATGAAGTCTTGTTTGGTGGGTTTTTAATTTGTTTATTCTTAATTTAAGATTTGTGTGGTTTTCCTAATCCTCTGCCATGTTTTTTATTTTTTTTTGCTTCTACAACAATGTTTAAATGTCCTTAATGATACATTCAATTTTTTAATATATTTAGAATATTAATCCTTTGCCATGCACATTAAATTTTATAATTTACTCTTTACTTTCATTTTTGTGGATTTGACTAAACTTTTCAAGTTTTCCATAGTCATCACAACCTTTTTCTTTAGGGCGTCATTCTGTGGCCATCTTCCTACTACCTTATCTTCAAAAAGATCTCACCTAAATTAGTTACACAGGTTCCTCAGTCACGGTAAACATTCATGTAATATATACCAATGGATTTAATACAGAGTAAATCAACAGACAAATGTCTACTATTGTAGCCGCTTAAGCAATCAGGTGATTGACACCACATATCTGCCAGCCCACAGAGTTTATAATAATATAAACTTACGTAGACAGATGTGGGGAGAGTCATAGTTTGAAAAACAAAGGTAACAGGAATCTCCAAAAACTTAATGGAAACATATATTAGACTCTGCGTGGATTTCAAAGTTGGTTTTTGTTTTTTCTTTTTCCTTTTTTTTTTTTTCACACACAAAAAAATTTGTTCTTCTCATTCCACTGTTCCAAGAATAGTTTAGTGGGCCCTCACATGGATATAAAATTAAGTGACAGAGAAGGAGACCAGCTACAACCTTGTTTGACAGTCTTCCACCGGCGACACAGGTTGTCTTACCTTACTCCTCTTCTTCCTCTGCCAGCTCTGTCTCCTTGTGCACCACCACTCTCGTCACGGCCATGTCAGGGTGCTGCTCTCTGGCTTCCCTGATGGCCTGAGCCAGGGCCTGCCAGGGGAGGAAAGCACAGGGGTGAGCTGGAACAGATCGTACGCAGGACGGCCTCACACATGCCCACGCCTCAGCTGGGCTTCAGCTTTACGATGACAAGGTCTTACATCTTCTCATGAGAAAACAGGATCTGAAAAGGGGGTCACTATTCTTTTTGTTTGTTTGTTTTCCCAAATTTGTTTCTCCACTTCATGTTCAAATCACATACTTGGAAAAGAATCATGTGAGCTCTGAATTCTCGGCTTTACTCAGTGAAATTTGGAAAACACAAGTCTTTTCTGTGCTTGAATATTCTTGCTTGTACCATAAGAGTTAAATTTGCAATGATCATGTTAAGGTTTGCTGTATGAGTTGATGTGATGATGTCAAGCAGCAGTACAATGCCTGATGTTTCACCCTAGTCACCACCTCACTGCCAGGAACTCGAAGCAAAAGGACCAGAATTTGCTCATCTCTGCCCTCTTAGCTTCTCAGTAATTGTCCAAACTGAAACATCCGCTAAGCCAAAATTTTGCATGAGAAAGAACTGTGAACTTCTAGGGCACTGTGACATTATGATTCTCATAAACTGTTTGGCTTTTATCCACAGTGTCTGGCTTATAACTTTCTTTTTCCTAATATGGATTAACAGTTCTAATCTTCCCCAATTTTCTTTTTTTTTTTTTTGCTAACCCATCTTGCCAGGTACATCCAAAGATCCTCCTCATAGTTCAGTGGTCCTGTCCTTAGCATGGAAGGAGACATCTGTACAAGGAGGACCGGAAAAATCTGCATGGACAGGACTGGCTAATGTCTCTACCCTGGCCATTGGCAATCATGCATATGAAACCTCTGAATCCTTGGGGCAAGGTGTGGAGAGCTGCCAGATGGACGAGATGCCTAGAGAGGGTATGAATGCTCTGAGTCCCTTCTCCCATACCTCACCCTGTATCTTCTGGAAAGCTCATTTGCATTTTTGTGGTGTTATATGACAATCACCAAATGTGTTTCCCTGAGTTCTGTCAGTCATTTAAGAATGGTATGTGACCTGAAAAAGGTGGTAAGGACAGACCTGCTGATCAGAACTTAAGATTAACAAACTGTGGCCTGTGATTGGCATCTAATGTGGGGGCTCAGGTCCCAGCCTCTGCAATTGGAGGATATCTCCTAGCAGACAGTGTAGGACTGAAGTGGACTGGAGCACACCTGCTGATGTCTGCTGTAAAACAGTCACTTGTTTAGATGGCTGGGTGGGTGTGTGCATGTGAAAACTCCACATATATCTGGCATCAAAAGGGATTTGTGTTTTGAGTGCACACTAGAAGATACCAAATACAAAGTTCTTACTTGGTTACACCAACAGAGGTACAGATCTCAAAGTGCAAAGAAACTAATGTGAAAACAAGGCAAGCTAAAGAACTGAGACAGTCACCTTTCGATTCTACATCCGGGCTCTAAAGCTTACAGTTCAAGGTTACTGGGTCTTTCTCAAGGCCATGCAGCTAATGGGGAGCAGACTCCAGTGCTAACCTCGGGGGTTCTTGGCAATTTTTTCTGCACCAGGTGGGAAGAAGGCAGTATTCTCCTGTTTTATCCAAGAGTAACTGTATGGAACTACTGTGACAAAAAGAAACATTCTATTTTTCAGGAGAGAAATTGGCTTTTCTTGTTCATTTTGCTTAAGAGGTTTGGGGTATTCAAATTGGTTTTAAAAATTCACCACAGCACAACACTCAAAGTCTAGGAAAGAATTCTAAAACAGAAAAGAAATTCTACTATGCTAGGGAACATCACTAGCTCATATGGAAATCATGCATTTGAAACCAGCCATTCAATTCTTCTTACACTCTGTCTCTGGCCCAAAGAACCAGTTGCTTATCAGCTGTAGGTTACTAACCAACCCTGAGTCTCATTCTGCAGAAAAGGCAAAGCTACCAAAAACCAGGAGAACCGTTAGAATCATCTTCACACATGTAGAGTTTGTCATAATTCCTTTCATTCCACAAGATGAAACTAAATATTGTTCATATTAGTTCACTGGGACAAAAACAAGGACAAAATAACATTTAATCCAAATGAGAAACTGTTTTATTAGAAAGAACACTTTGAGGAGTAACTATAATATAATTTATAATATAATAAATTATAAATAAACTAATATAATTTATTTCTTTCTGGGATGGAGCTGAGTTATGGTCAAGTCAGTGTTAATCTGCAGAGCAGGTTTCTATAAATCATGCCTCTTTGATCTGCCAACACCAACAAGATTGTTTTCTGTCTTTACCAGCTGAAGGTTTCCTACCTCTCAGGAAGCAAGGAAGTGAAAAAGAAGTCAATGACTCTAAGGCACTACACAATCGGCAGCATTTTTGACAGGGGGTGATTCCCTCATTTATTTTCAAAGCTTATGAATTCCCTACAGGATTAAAGAAAAAAGTGAACCCATAATGAGTTCCTAGAGACAACTACACCAGAATTTATTTAAAACAGCTTTGCTATCTTACAATTAAACATGTAATAGTTAAATCTTACTATCTTTATCTGCATACCTGACCTTGACTTTGCAAAGGGTGAGATGGGACATTACACAAAAGAGGTGCGGTAACATCAAGATTTATGTTTTAGAGTTAGGGATAGTTAGTGAGGTAGCCTAGTGGCTAAAGTCCTCGCCTTCTCTGCCCAGGAATCCCATATGGGTGCCGGTTTGTATTCCAGTTGTTCCACTTCCCATCCAGCTCCCTGCCTGTGGTCTGGGAAAGCAGCCGAGGACGGCATCAAAATCCTTGGGACCCTGCACCTACGTGGGAGACCTGGAAGAAGCTCCTGGGTCCTGGCTTCAGATTAGCTCAGCTCTGGCCAATGAGGCCACTTAGGGAGTGATCCAGCAGATGGAAGATCTTTCTCTCTCTCTCTCCTTCTCTCTGTAAATCTGCCTTTCCAATAAAAATACATAAATCTTAAAAAAAAAAGAGTTTCTAATAGATATTTGTATTTATAGATACTTTGCTTTTGCTACTTACTTGACTGTTTCTTGAATACCTAACTTGTAGAAGCAGTTTGATGTGAGTTGATTTTTCAGTCAAAACAGGCCAAATGGCAAAACAAACAAAAAACATAAACCCTCAGATTGTTCCCAGTGAAAAGCATGAAAATGTCTATGTTCAATGGGGAGACAGAAGAGAAGAAAAAAAACAGCTGGTGGAACACTGTGATTTGTACTTTCCACCATGCCAAAGACTGTGTGTGACCCTGTCCAGCACCGAGTAGAAATCCAACAAAGCTTGAAGAGTATGAGTCCCAGAGAGAAGCAATAGGAATTTGCTTTGCTCCAGATTCAGCCCAGGTCATTCCTGGCTGTCCCAGTGAATAGCAGCAGAATCAATCTTCTACGTGTGAAGCTGGAGGCATGGTTTGGAGGTAATTCATTTTCCATGGTAAGCAACAAGTAGTCATCTACTAGGAAAGTAAAAATTCAGAGTCTAGGCAACTCTTTCATTTCTTCCAAATAATGCAAAATACACTATTCAAATGTGTAAGTAACACTATTCTTACAAAAGTAAAAGAAAAAAAAGTGAAGGAGGTAGGGTAATTTTCTTTTAGGCATAAGGAAAATTCTCTTTCCATTGGTCACACGGAGGAAGGGTTTTTCTAATGAGGCATTTTGTTCTATAAAACTCTCTTTACTGAGCTCAATATTGTGTTTAAAGCTTTGTAACAATCATTTGCTCCTACTGCCCAACTGAGAAGGTCAATTGAACATTTTTTCCTCTTTCTTTCATGTTGTCGTAAAAGGAAAACAGCTTGGGCTCCTTTAAAGCTGTGTTAAAATCATTCAGGAAAAAAATCTCATCATTACCAGGGACTGCAGTTTGAAATGAAGATTGCTCTCCCAAGCCCCAGTGCTTCCATTTACCACCTGCTTGAAGCATGTACTCCAGCAAACCCAACAGCAGGACGGGAGCATGCTTCTTTTAAAACACTGCAGAAAACTGATATGAATTTTTACTTTGTAAGAGACATTGGATTTCCCACTCACTCCAACAACCCTAATGATAGTATTAGGGAAAAACCTCATAGTAAATAGTCCAACTTTTCCAATGCTTATAAAAAATATTTGAAAACATCTTAAAAACAGGCATAAGTCAAATTTATTGTTTTCAGGTTTTGGAAGCCACAGTCATGTTAAAATATTTGAAGAGCTTTCTTTCAACTAAGTTGTCCATATGAACATCTATTGCTTGCCAAACACTCTGCAGATGATCTTAGCCAAAAGTACATGTTGAGCCAGTGGACACAGTCAGAAGGCTAAAGTTCATTCCAACTCTAAATTATAAAGGCTGAAGAAGTGCATGCAAGCTGTAAAATATCTTCACACTGTGCTTAGCAGTTGGACATCGTCCAGGAGGTTCTAAGACAGGGTTGATCCTGGGATGCTAACATAACTCAGAAGACACATACACCATCATTTTCAGAACAAGGACCTGAGATCTTTACCTGATCATGATCAATATCTGCATCTCCTGTGATCACAATGCGTTTCTCAATTCTGGTTTCAGATATTCCGCCTTTTACAGTCTGAAGGTCATAACAGGAGAAGGGGAAAAAAAGACAGCAATCACCAAAATGTGTTTTGGAAGTCATGGAGAGGACAGCTAGGAGCCTACCCACCCAGACTTCTGATCATCCAAGCAGCGGAAAACTAATGTTACAGAAGCTGTCTCTGCTTGTAAGTTCAGCAGAGAATCCTATTAGCATTATAGCATTCACAGATATTCCTCAACTAATAGCATCTCTAAAACTAATCTATCAACATTCAGGTGACATTAACATGGGAAAAATGCTTTAGTGCAAGCAGTTCCAAGGGATAGTCTGTTGTAATTTCTAAGTTTCTTGATACTTAGCTGGCCACACATTGAAAAAAGAGAATAGAAAGTAGCTCTTCCATATTTGCAAAAATACAAAGATCTCTAGCAATTTGGGTATATGATTTAAGTTTGGGAAACAATTACGCTTGTTATTGCTTGATTCTGCTCATACGATTTGAGTGATTTTGTTCATTTAATTTGGTGTAACGAATGTTTCAAAAGAATTTGGATTTGTTTTAAATTAGGGAAGATAGCAGAGATTTTCATTAAATATTTGCTTTTAATTATAGCTTTAGTACCCACTCATGCATGTGGACTTGGAACACGGCAGCTTAAGGGCTTGGATAGAACTTCTGGGTTAGGTGCCCAACAGCTGATTGGCTAGTATATGCTGAGCAGATCTGACAGCATCTACCTGTGACCTTCTGAAGACGCAATGAGTGAACAGTACGAGGTCCTGATAAGACACACAGTCAACCTTTACAATTCCGACCAATTTATAATCCAAGACACAAGTAAGAGAATTTTACTCTTCGAAAATAGGCTTATTGTAGCTTCAATAACTGATACACTTCAAAGGGAGCAGTAATAATACGTCCTGTATTTATGCAGCACTTTTTAAATCTACAAAGCTTTTTACTTTTTAAAATAAAAAAAAATTTAATTTTAAATTTTAAATTTCTGAAACACGGGGTGGGGATATATACATCCATACCTGGTATAAAAGGATACATTCAAAGCCTGTAAGCACTCATCAGCTGTAAAGTCAGAGAAAAAGGAAACGCTGCAAAATAAGGCTGCATTAGAAATCCAGCAAGTCTAGTAGGCACCATGATCCCCGGGAATCCCCGTGAAACACTGCCCGGGTTTCCACGGTTCCCTGGTGGGAACACAGCGTTTACCCTTGTAACAAGTCCCACAGTGTGAGCGCTGCTGCAGGGGCCCAGGGCCCACAGCAGTCCTCTGGTACGAAACATTTAGACACCGGGAAAATGCTCCAAGTAAAGATAACACTAGCTCACGTAAACAAGGACATTTTTGCATTATTTAACAACTTAACTGAAAATTCTGAATGACACTTTTTCAGGCAAGCTGGCTTAATAGAAGCAGCACCATTTTTGTAAATTTGTTTTTTTATAAATGATACATTTTATAATTTTATTCTCTCTAGTCTGGTAGCTATCTTAAATATAGTTATCCACAGCATATTTTTACCCCCTTGTACTGTTCAAAATAACAGTTTGGTTGGAACACATTTGCCAGTAGAGACTGATTTCTTGACTATTTGGATAAAGGCATTTTTATTCCACTAGTACCATCTGTGTACTGCTTGGAAATAGGAACATGAACAAAGCTACAAACCAGAAAACACCTTGTCTGCAATGAGCCACCTTTTCCCAGCCTTTGAGACTGCTTTACCTTGGTAATGTGTGTGGTGGTTGTTGTCGACACCGACTCAGACGTGATGGTTTGTGCAGTCAGCAACGTGCCTGAATCACCACCAGCTCCGCCATCAATCTTCACAGAGTCAGAGGAAAAATACAAGGTTATGCTTAACTTCTGTCATGTTGTCAGAAGACCCCACCCCATTGAGCATGCATCCATCCAAACTCTGCACGGTTGGCAGACCATGCTATCTGCCTGCCGTCGGCATGTCTGCAGTGGTAATTCACTGTCCAGGAGAGTGGCTGGCATTACAACAGAGCAGAGGCCAGAGGCTAAATGTACATGGAGAAGCAAAGTCTGCAGGAAGAGAAAAAAAGAATAACGGAAGCAGAAAGCGGACTGAAAGCTGCACCAGTGTCAAGAAGGAATTTATCTGAGGGACAGGTGCAGAGGCGAGGGAAAAACCCCTAGACAACGAGGCCGAGAAGTTTCCACAGTCATCAGGAATGCCAAGCTTGTGGTTGTTCTAGCACAGGTAGGTAAAAACAGATGAACACTTTCTCATATTACTAAGCAACAGAATCCAAGATAAACTGAACCTGCATGATTTACTATTTCATTTCAAGTAGATTTTTTCCCAATGATATTGTTCTTAAACAGCTTGTGTGATATAAGCATATATACATGTACAAATATTGCATTTCTATATGCATGCATCTTCTTGCTATGTATCAAATATATACCCCACACATATATTAAAATGTCTGACTTGTTTTCCCTGATACTGGAAGACATAGCAGAGTTTTGAAGAATAAATAACAAAGCAAGAGAATAGCCTAGCAGTTTATGTTAAGGTCACCAAGCTTATCTGCCTTCTGTGTCCAGACGCAAACAAAAGGATGTAACCACAAGGTCCAGAGCCCTCTGCGTTCCGAGGAAAACCTCTCTCAAATTGGGGTCAGGCACTCATAGTTTTTTATAAGAGCATGTGCCATGACATAGACATGTAATTCCCACTGCCCCCACAGCCGTTCATAAAAAACAAACAAACAAATCCGCTTGTGCTCATGATGCAATCTATGTACACAAAGATAATGTACCTAAAATACAATTACGGGATGCATCCCACACATCCACTAGACCTTTTCAAGTATGCTTTGAAAGGGCAATCACCTGCCTTCCTCGAGCATGGCAGAAGCCTATTCCCTTTCCCCTGTGAGTGGGACACAGGTTTGTTAAATATACTTGGAAACAGTTCCACTTTGAAATAATGATTACATTTTTATTGTTGATAAAATTAAAGTTAATCAAATGCTTAGTATCTGATAATTCTGTATACACATAGAATAGAAGTTTATAAATGATGACATGTGTCTTCAGAAAACAGTCCTATGTGAAGAAGCCCTGGCCTGTGTGCATGTGCATGTCTGTGTTACCTGCAAGCACACAGTGTGTGACTGAGTCAAGGGGGTAAAAACTGTAACTGCTAAGCCACAAATCACAGACTATATCACAGCCAGTAAGCCTTGCAACATGATCTGTTTCCTAAGTGCACATTAAATTCTTGGAAACAAAGCCAGAAATGTCTTCCAATATTACAAACATAAGATCAATACTCCCTGTCCTAACTAATCATACAGACAGTTCCACTATAATTACAGGGTCATCAACCTGACCACATATCTGCTATAATCTGTGAAAGCAACATCACAAGTTATGTTGCTGTTGAAGTCTAGGACATATAAAGTCATGTCAAAATCTGAAACATGTAGACAGGAAAAGATAGAATGAAGGCCAAAGCAAGACACACTGAGCTAAGAGAGAATTCAGCTAGCCCAAGTCTGGAGCTTTGATACCTGTGGAGACTCATATGTGATGGTTTTGGTCTCAGTTTGGACAATGGGGACTTCCTTGGTGGAGATTTCTGTTCTCTGTGAGGCATCAGAAATTGTTACCATCTCTGTTTTTACCACTGGTGGCTGGGGTGGAGAGGAAGGGAAAATTAAATTCTAGAGGTAATAAAGTTAAAATGTATAAAGGAACCTTCAAAAATAAGTGTAAAATCATATTCAAACACACACTCATGCACAAAAGAAAAGCAAATATCCAAAAACAAATATACAGAAGAAAAATTTCCTTCAAATATAGCATATATATACACATACGCATGTAACACACGTACACATATGGACACATATGTGTTTATATGTGTGTATATATGAAAAATAACATAATGGCTCCAGATTTTTTCTCTTCCAATTATGGTGCCTCCTCCAACTACTTAAATTATCAAGCCAATGTACAAATTATATATTTTTTAGATATCTATAAATTGTATCTATCCTATGTATATATAGTCCCATGGTCTATATGAAAGCTCTTGTTCACTGGCACGCCAGTGAGGAGGCTGAGGCTTGCTCTTCTGCCCAGAACGTCCTTTCTGCATTACTGACAACAAATACAACATCTTCGAAAAGACATCTTCAAATCTGATGATTTCTGCTTATACTTGTCTAAAATGTGCAGTGTTTCTTTCGTATTGCTCACACTAATCTCAAATTACTCTATCAATGTTGTGTTAAAACTCTAAATGATTTAGAACGTTACGGGAGAGGCAGATTTGACAGCCTGTTGACATTGTAGTCTGCTGAGGTTGTCAGTTTAGTACGACACCAGACAATGTTACCACCAAAATATTCCAGCACTTTCTCTGAGAGAAAATTCCCAATAGGTATAATTATCGAACGAGGAACAATCTCTTATTCGCTGCAGAAAACGCTAGTTCAAAGTGTCCAAAGATTTTTGAACCATCTTCTCTGAGGTAAAACAAGAAGTTTAAAACAAATCCATGTAATTATTTCAAGGCAAAGTCACTTCAAGATTTTTCTAATCCATCACAGATAGCAGATACAGATCAATGTCTACATTACAGCCAGGTAAGTCTGGAATCAAGAACTAATCCCATGGCAGTAAACCATGGCTCAGCCTCACGCACTTCCAAATGAGATACACACTGCATTTGGTGACCAAGACTTCATCTACCCGGAACCTGTAAAGATTTCTGTCTTGGAGAAAAAAACAAAAATCCTTATCTAGCGTAGATAATCACCAAACACAAGATCAGCTTGCAAATAATCCAGAACAGACGTTAGGACTCAATTGAGAAGAGAAGGATATTCTATTAGATCAACAGTCTAGCCTCTGGCTGCCTGGATCAAAGAGAAGTCTCTTAACCAAACCATACATTCCCTAGGTTCTAAAAATGAAGTCATGATGGTATTGCAAAAATCATGTTCTCATCACTGCTGGCGCTGCATTCAGAGCTCCACAGTAAGCAAAAGCCTGCCATCATTTCTAACCATCTTATGGTATAAGAGTGAAGAAAATGAGCCAAAAAGTCATCCCCAACCATGACAAAAGTAGCACACACACTGGCATCGAACATTCTTTCCGCATTACCTACACGTTTCCCCAAGGAAACCAAGAGAAAAAGGCATGTAGTGTGAGGAAGCAGTGCAACTAAGGAAAAATCTGGAAGCATCAAGAACATGCAAAGAAAAACTGAAAGGCGAAATGGAGAAGAAAAAAATGATGCAACGGTTGTAGGAGAGTTTACCCTACATGCGATCCAGTTGCAGAAAGGCTAGAAATCATGAACTGAGCTGGCAGAAAATCGCCCTTCCTCCCAGGAGAGAGCAAAGTCAGATTCTCGTTGAAACAGCTGAAGAATTGGGAGGATAGCTGAAGAAGCAGCAGGTGCTGGCCACCTGAGAAAGAGCTCAACAGATTAGTTCCCACGCAGGACTCCCATTTACCTCAGAACAACAAATAATCTGTGGCAAAACATCAACGTCAACATGAGACACCTCTCCGTTAACTCTATGTTGCTCTTCCTCTGTTTCTTCTCTCACGTCTTGCTTAAGAGCGCCTTCGTTGACACTCTTCTCTCCAGAGAGCTCCTGGGCAACTACCTTCTCCTGGGCCACTGTGTCTACTGTGGGTACACTGGCACCTGCTTGCCTGTCTGGGCTGGCTTCTGGCACTGCTTCCTCCCTCTCTACTACCTTGGCTGCTCGGCTGGCTTCTTCCTCCATCTCTTCTTCATCCTCCTCCTGTTCTTCCCTGATGGTGCCCTCGGTCACACGGTGGTGGGGTCGGTACTCTCCCACATCTTCCTCCTCACTCTCGCTGTGGCTGCTGCTCTCAGAAGACAGGGAGGTGGAGTCTTTTTGTGCCACAGGCTCCACCTTACGAATCTCCCCAGGACCACTCCCAGGTGATAGCTCGTTACCATTCATTTCTTCCGTGATTACTCTTTCGTCTTTCCCAACCTCTGCCCGCTGCTTCTCCTCCACTACATTCAGAGTCTCATGTGAACTCTGCACAAGAAAAAAAAAAATGGATGAGGGAAAACAAAAAGACATGAATAAACAAAAACAATGGAAACCCAAAATAACTGATGGCAGAGTCATGTCATGGAGAAAAACACAGATGGTTATGATGGCTGACTGAAAGGGAAGCGGGGGAATGCGAGGGGAGATGAGAACGTCAGGCAATGATGTCAACATGGAAAACGGGGAGAACCTTAACAGCATCCCTGGCTCCAAGGCAAGGCCCTTCGGACTCAGGAGCACGTGTCTGCAGAACAAAAAGCAACCAGGGACACACAATCAATAAAGTTTTACCTCAACAACCACCAAAAAACAAACAACAACAGAAGACTGACACTGCAAAGACAGAGCAGCAAGAATTGACACCCACAAACATCTGTGCACAAAGACACACAAACGTAAACTGGGACAGACTCTGAAGCTTGCACAAGTAAAAACACAAATGCAGCCAGCACACTCCAAGAAACAAAATGCTTGTAATATAGTTCTACTTGTCAGCTCTATTTAGGTAGTGAAAGATGTGTATTAAATATCTGAGCCATACTAAGGTTTCCTGATGGTTTTCAAAAATACATTTAAAAACCTTTAAAACCTACTCAACAATTTTTATTTTTAATCAAACTATAGCCTAGACCCTCACTTTCGAAATGGATAGATTATTAAGCATATGGTACTATTATTTTTACTAATTTATAAAGCATTCATTTTAGAAATGGTTATTACCATCCTAGTTTGTATTTTATATTAGAAAAGACATATCATACGTCAGGGTGGAGAGCAATGGTGGCTTCCAGGGTTTTTCTCTTAGAATTTGGATCCTCCTCCAGCATCTTTGAAAGATGAACCAAGTCCACTTTTTGACACGTTCATCCCTACCACCCGCTTCTCTGGAGTGAAGCTGCTCTAGCTGATTCCCAAGCACACACATGTCCAACAGACAGCTGCTGTATGCATGCATGATATGTGGATGTATCAATGATACGAATCATGAACTAGTTTGAAAATTTCCTTATGAAGGAGTTAGCTTTAAAAGCTTTAAATTGAGAAAGAACAGTCAACTTTTTGATATTCAAGGGACACTACTGTCTGGACTCTAAGTTCAGAATAATTCAGCCAGTGACAGAAGCCCTGTGTATTCAAGATCGTGTCTCTGTGCCGAATGGAGAAGGGCACCGGGCCTCTGTACCTTCTGGCCACTGCGTGTAGTGAAGTTGCCAACATGGTGACTGGACTGCAGCTGCCTCCTACAGAAGATGGCAGGACTTCTTCACCTGCCCCAGTGACATGGGCAACCACGGGCTAAAGGTGCCAAATTGACACAAATCCCAATAATACATACAAGATAAAAGCTTCCTTTGGTCTCCTCTGCTATGCTTAAGTACATGGCAAGGGTATGTATTAATTTGCTCAAAATTATTAGCATGCAAATTATGTTCTCAACCAGAGAGTCATCCTTCTAGATATCAAACTAAACCTATTTTAACAAACAGATGTTATTTAACTAAGACTATTTATAATTTCTTTATAAATGTATCTATTGCTAGAACCTTTATAAGACATCCATTTCTAATATAGGTCAGTGAATTCACTTAGACTCAACTGGCCAGATGGGTCTGCCCAAGTTCAGGGAATCCCTATGGGTCCAAGATAATTACTTCACCTTCAATATTTCCACAAGAATTTTCACACAACTATTAATTGTTTTCAATAGTTTCCACAGAATTATTAAAATGACAAGCCAGCAGAAGATGCCTGCAGCTTGAATTATGAGACGCTACACTGCAAAGCACACCAAGCTTCTTGGTTGAGGGTTTCCTCAACAGCTTGGGCCCTAAGCTTAAAGGATTCTCTGAATTTAGGCAGATTTTTGTTGTTGTTGTTTATCAAAACAACCAGGGGAAATATGTAGTTTATATTTCTCCCTCATGTCCAAATTCAGTCATTGTTTCCTAAGTGCTTCTCCCAGGAAGATTTCATTGCAGCAGGGAATGTGAATCAAAATATCTGAAAATGAAAATCGGGCTGTACGTGGCATTTAGTAACAGGGGAAACAAAATAAAATGCACCTCAGGCAAGTGTGAGAAGAGCGAGGAAGAAAGCCATTCAGAAGGTGCATTAGAGTTCACAACAGCGCCCTCTGCTGTCCAAGTGGTGGCTGAAGGGAAGGTGGCTTTCATGCTACCAGAAAAACCCTCTTCACTAAAGAAAATTGATGTTATCTCCTCTTCTAGGCTCTAGAGAGGTCAGAAAAGGAAGAGCAAAGAATTAACAATGAGAACAAGCAGTGGTGACCTACTGATGGGAAGGAAAGATTATACAAGAAAGAACAACAGAGCAGCACAAAATGAAAGATGAGAATTCTCAAAGATTCTGCAGCATGCATAAATTGACGTTGGCCTGAACACCACCATCCCCACCCTGCTTGACAATCCTTGGTGGCTGCAACTACACAAACCAACTAAAACTCCCCTGTTTGTCACTGAAGCTTTACAAAACTGAGCACCATCAGACACCTTCATCTATTCTTCAGGCAGTTTCTTGGTCACTGCAGAGAACAGCTCTGTGTTTGCTGTATTGGAGCCTGGATTTCTATGATCCACCTCTCTGGCCTCCAATTTTTCCATAAGCACTCTGTAACTTGCTGATTTTGCTGGATCTGCAGACCATTTAATCGTCTGTTTGTGTAAGACCTTCTTCCATAGCTAATCTAATGCCTACCATTCCCTCCTTTCTTCCTACTGCTTTGCACAATAAACACTGACATAAACCCACAGTATTTCCCCAACACATGCTAAACATGCCACAGAATTTCATTTTGAAAATGGAAAGACAAACTTACAAGTGAAACCTCAGCGAGGATTGTAAAAATTGCATGTCCCTGAATAACTGGTAAGGGAAATCTCACCTTCATATTTTTGCCCTTTAAACAAGGATGTCCAACTTGGATGAAAGAACTGGGTCTGTCCTCAGAAACAGGGGAGGTCACAAGAGCTCCTAGAAAGCCCTCCCTCATGTCACAGGTGTACAAGAATAATTCCAGATAAAGCCCAACAAAGACCGAACACAAAAACATAGACTGTTAGAGTCAAAACTAACACATTGAAAAAAAAAAAAAAACCGGCAGATTAAACTCTCTCACATTTTCAACTAACAGAGTGGCGTGAAATTTGAGGAAAAAATTGATGAAGTATAGACGGGTCGGAAAATATCTGCCTGATGAACAACTGTAGTTAAAACAACTCACGCGTATGTCATTTAACTATGTTTTCCTGCACATATTGAAAGAACAGAAAAAAGCAGCAACTTCAAGTGCAGAAAACCATCTCAGACCTCTTTGAGATTGAACTTTCACATTATATCACCTCAATTTAACCTCTACAACAAAATAATTTATATACTATGGTTTTATGTTATACATTCCTTAAAACATGGGATTCAGAAAAATAATAACTTTAAACATATTCACACAAATTCTAAAGCATACTATCAAAAAAATGTCAAAGGACATCACTTTAAATTTGATCAAATGATGCTATTCAACTTGTTCAAGAGATCCGATTTTTAAGGCAGAGTATTTTAAAAGTATGTGACACTGAAGTCTTCAATGCACACCTAGAATCCAACTGGCCCTGGGTTTTAGGATTAGCTTAAAGTACAGAAATGTACCACTGCTTCACCGCATGACATGCTCTTTCTCATTTTCAGGGTTCTTGAAATACTTTGTCTCAACTGGACCTAAAGTTTCTGTAGAGAATTTCCATTTATTTTGCCTCCTCCCCCAACACATCATGTGCTTTGATGCACGCTTCTTGTTGTTAACAAGAAAATGTTAACAAGAGACAGGAAAATGCTCTTCCTTTCTCTCTAATCTCTGTTGTCATTCACACTCTCTATCATCCATTCCTCATGCAGCAGCAGAGGGATTTCTGCCAGACCCGTGCAGGATCAATTCACCACTCACCTCCAAACTCTGTATTGGCATTCCCATCCCTCCTAAGATACAATTCCTAACTGTCAATGTGGGTTTCAGAGCACTGACATGGTCTGCCTTCTTCATGTTTCCCCTTGCTCTTTCAGTTCCTAAAGCTCCTTGCTTTGGGGACTATTTTATCTGCTCTTCTGACATGTGGAAAAACCTTCCTCTGTCTACTTCCTGGCTATCACGAAGGTCTCATCCCAAATACGAGCATCTCCTGACCACCAGGGTAAAAGCAGCCACTGCCTCTGCCCGTCTAACTCAACACTGCATCTCTTGACACTTGGTACCTGAGGCTCTCTGCCTGCTCTGTGATCACATTATTGTTTATGTATTTACAATCTATCTCCTCCAGCAGCATAAACATTCTGCAATTAACAGAATAAGCAAAATCAGTAGAAGCAAAAGAATGAGAATGTAAAAGCAATGGAAAGTTAGCTTCCTGGATAACACTGGATATTCCACGTACATTGGCGCACACAGAGAAATCGAGGAGAGACTGCCATGAAGCATCAAACTATATTTTACCATTAAAAAAAATTAAAACTTAAGTTTTCTGTATGTGATTAGTAAACTAGTAACTGAAAGCACATAGTTTATTTTTAAACAGCACAGTGGACTTAGGAGCTGTGCAGTGCATTTTTATGTGAAATTACAGTTTTCCAACTGTCAAGCCACACATATCAAGTTAGTGCTTCTGCAATATGTTTCTCCTCCCAGTGGTCCTATGCTTCTATACTGGAACTTTCACTTTTCAAATGTTTAAAAATTGATTTCCGAGATAATTTGACACATTGTAAAATGAGACACATCTTATGGCTGTAAACAGAAAAGGAAATGTGGCAAAGCAAGGATAGATCCAAGGACGCAAGGTGAACACCTTGTCTGCCTCCTGAGACTGCTCTTCAACTCTCCGCGTGGCCGCCTTCAGGTACTTCTCCTTCATGGATAAAATATCCTTGAAAAGATGGTCGCCTTTTCTCTATTGTTTTAAACAACAGACATAATCAACAGATAAGACACACACATTACACCTGCAGCGGCACAGACATAAGCAGCTGTGGGGTCAGTGGAACAGCGTCAGGCGCGCACAAAGGAAAGGCAAACCACAGCAGGTCAGCAGCGCCTCACACTGGAGCACGCTGCCCAAGCTCATCTCCCCTCCGAAATCGGAGAGGCAGACCTTTTCCTCAGCCCCTCCCACACATTGTTTTAAACATGACTATTTCTAAAGATTCTGTTTTTCAGCGCAACAGTTACAGTGACTCATCCATCCTCAAAGAGCTATTTTCCCTTCAGTGTCATAAACTTACAAATGTAAAGCAACGAACAGCGTTGCTTTCCAAGGAAAAGTAAAGGAAAATACCAGTAGACTACCTAGACTGAATGTCTACCACTGGCAACATTCAAGCTAAACAAGACACTGAAAAGAACAAGGATGAAATCACAGTGTAACATTTACACTTTTTAAATTCAAAATTAAACATAGTATGATCATTGTCTCTTAAGTATGATAGATAAGCCTACTGAATTTCCTGGCCAACAACAAAAGGGATTTGAGAGTATCAGAAAGGAACAGATATTAACATTAAGAGAGAAGTATTTTGACAATAGATTTTAAAAGTAATACATCTGTTAGTGGTCGGGAGAAGGAAATGGTACAAGGGAAAAAAGAGCAAGTATGGGAAGATGCTTTTATAACACGACATAACACAGCTGGACGTTCCAATATTCGCTTGCATTTCACATACCATTTTACAAGTTTTCAATAGGGCTCATTAGTTTTTAAAGTCTTAACTCATTATTCTCACAGTAATGATCTGAAACCATTGTAAATGTTATCTGCATTCCTTTAATTATTTCATTTATTGAATAAACTTTATTACTTAAGTGAATAACCAAATAGCTTATTTAATAAAATGTTTATTTCCGAGTTGTCCTATGCTAGCACTTCATGACTATTAATATACCAGCATAAAAGAGTGAAATTGCTTTGAAACTTTTGGAACTCATACAATCTACCTAGGGAAAGACCAGTAAGTATTATACTGTTAATAAATATTTAGTATTTTAAACATTATTAGCAATTACATAAAAATATTAAATGGGAGTATTATGTAATTTCCCAAGAATCAACATAGGACATTAACAACCTTAGTTTTACTGAAAAACAAGACATACAGCCAAGAAACAGCTAGTGACATACCCCTTGTGTCTGTAGGGACAGAGGTGTGATACGTCGTTTTTCCCATTCATTGGGGCGCGGCTCAGGTGTGGATTCCATAAAATTGCGTTTGAGTTCACTAATGCTAGCCTGATGCTTCAGTATGTCCTCCTGGGCCTTATCCAGCTCCTAGCAACACGCAACGTAACAAAAGGGGAACACATCCAAAAGGAAAAAAAAACCCCAGTAGGACAAAAGCAAAAATAAGACAAAGCAAATTTATAAAAAACAAAACAAAACTCAGTAAAGGAAGAAAAATGCCGAGTCTCAAAAGCCATTATTATCACCTAAGGATAGCATTAATGAGTTGCACAAAAATTTAAAAATAAAGGCAATGTGTATAGCTTTTAACAGATTTTTAAAGGACTCTAATTTCTTCCCATTTAGAACTTTTAAAGCACTAATTGTTTGCAGTAACAGAAGGAATCTATGAAGCTGTTTGAAGTGGCCATCCTCCTTCCCAATGCTTGGATTCAAATGAAGCCTATTATTTTGGACCAGCAAATTTACCTCATTAGTGTACTATTAAAACCGCATTCTATCAGCACAGAAAATCGAGTATAGAATAAAGGCAGACCAAAAGCACACTGGGCCTTAAAGGGAAATCCAGTCCAGGATCATCCAAAAAAGAAAGGAAAAAAACCTCAGTCTGTCTTTTATCCAAGAAATTCCAGTGGAGGCTTTTAGTTCCTAAGGAGTGAAAATGCGTGCTTCCCGGGGCTGTATCCGTTTGACATCTCTGTGTGATAAATGAACCTCTCACTGGCTTCAAATACTTGCCAACTGCAAAAGTGCAGCCCAGCCATCGCATGTACAAAATAGGCTTTCTAGAGACACAGACGGAGGAAAACTGCCAGGTTATGTTTCACTGGAGTAGACCCTGAAGAGTGGTACTTAAAGGACTTTTTGGAGTGGCCCTGATAAATGGTGAAGGTGGGAGTGGAAAGCAATTAGCTGATAGGATGTATGATCTTAACCAAATTTTAAAATAGTTTCTTAAATTTCAAGAATCATAGGGCCACCTGTACATTTAGTTTTCATCCCACTCCCAGAGGAACAGATCATGCATCTGATAAAATTAGATACTCCATATTCATGCACAAGCATAGTAGCTCATTTATGAGCTTCTATAGCCATTTGCAAAACTCCGAAAAAATCTGAAAGTCTTTGCATGGCATGGAAAAAGTGACCATGGCTTGAGATCAGGCACATTTCTTGCATTTGTTCAAAGTGATGTTATTTATTATATGTCACAGCATTTTAGTAAGGTAAGCAAAAATATATTTCCAACAGTTATCAAAGCTGCCAAAAGCAATCAGATTAGTCACATTACTGAGAGTGGCGTTTCTCCACCGAATAAACCACCGAACACTGCCCTAGAACAAGCAAAGGAATGCTCTCATGTGACACAGGGAACACATTTCATATTCCTAATGGGCTGTCCAGGCTTTTCCTTTCTATTTTCCCTCTTGATTGTTCTTTCTTTCTAGTCAAAACAATCAGATTTGTTGGGAAACTCTCCAACAGAAGACTTTCCGTGGACCACATTCCTAATTGCATGGATTTAGGGCAAAGATGCAGAGTCAAATTATTTCCTGCCAGATCAGCAACTATCCATTGGAGTTAATGTACATGATGGGTGGAAGCACATTACTGCAGACTCCACACCCTAGAGATAACCAGCAGGAGGGAAAGCAGCTTGCTTGTACGACTTCAAGATGAATAGATAAAAACTGTATTCATTGGACAAACAGAACTCTTTTTTTTTTTCCCAATTGTCACTTTGAGAACTTCTGGTGGACATATTGCTGCTACCTCAGCCACTTGGAAAGGACACAGTAAGACTAGCAACATGCACTCCCAAGGAGCATCTCCCCCATGCATCTCATGCATCGTGCTTGAAGGCAACTTCCAGCCAGCCTGGGCGTGACCTCCCATCCACAGCAGCCTGGCAGCCATCGGGACAGAGACGTTGTCTTAGATTATACAAACCTCCAACATTAAATTGCTATGTCTGACATAAATATTATCCCCTTCTACTCTCAGGGAATTTTTCTGTGAAATTAAATCACACACAGGGGGGGAAAGGCAAATAAACGTAAGTGCATCAAACAGCAAGCATCGGAAATGACCCAGAGTTTGACATTAAATAAGAGGAATAAAAAAATCTTAACACTAAGAGCCACAGCAAATGAAACTAACAAATAAACCCTGGAAGAGCATTCTCTTCTCCCTCCCCAACAGCACAACGGCAGGCAGCAGCCACATATTGAATTTTAGTGAAAACACAGCCACCTCATCCAGGTGTAGTTCCTCTTCTTCCATCTTCACCTGAGAGTTATCACAGCAAATGGCCAGAAAGAAGGGGAGAATTAGTGGAAACTCTACCCCAATGCAACAGAGAAGCTGTATTGAACTTGACCAGAATTACCAACCTTTCTTGTCTGGCCCTCAGAAGCTGCAGAATACTAAGCCACTTGGTCTTTCTTCACCTGCAGTGTTGTACAAATGATGGAAATGACCCTTGGGAAAGGCATAATGGAGGATGGAGGCTTCACTCTTTCTCAGTCCCTCGTCTATGCTCTGCTTTTGAAGGTATTTTTTGTTTTGAATGAAAATATTAGAGTCCAAAAGTAGCATAATTCAATCTGTTCTAGTTTAAAATGTGTAAGGGTACAATGTTGCGAAATTTGTCCTGAACTTTACATTGGGAACAACCATTTGCCATACTAGTTAGTTTTTAAATGAGAATTTCTCTCCTGGAGGAATGAGGACTGGTTTGTTTATTAGCTACCTGCTTATCGAAATGGTGGATATTAAAAAGTCTTTTAAATATAGGCACTTTGTTTTTTTAAAAATTATTGAAATAAAAATAGCTTGTGTAGTTGGACATTTCTCACTATTGATAACGGCCCAAGAGAAAGAATTTGTAGGCTTAAAACTAGCATAAATATTAGCTGAATATTGATGCCAGGAAAAGAATGGCAAGAATGAAAAAACGTTGATTTTGATATCAAAGAAAAACAGTTTAATGATTACAGGCTACTTTACACCAAACATTCTTTTCTTTCTTTACTGCCATGATACTGCCAATTCTAAAAGTCCAAGCCAGTTACCTTAAAAATTATATCCTTGGTATTCATGAAGAGTAAATAGGGAACTCCAGGTATTATTATTGGAAGCAAATCATGAAATTATCATTCGGCAATCAGTTAAGAACCATCTCCCAATTCCTTGATCAACACATAACTCTTTAAAATGTTGGTCTTTGGTATTTATGAGGTAAACCTTAGAAATTGTGGTGTCTCCTAAGGCATTCTATTGTATTATCTTCACATTGTTCTCTGGGTTTGTTCTAAATTTTGTGATTTATTCTGTGTATTCCCAGTATTCACAAAATGTGAGATATTGTATCACCAGAAAATTCAACAAAATAACTTAAAAATACTGTACATGTTAACACTGACTCAGTAATACAGGGACAGCATAACAGAAGAAAAGTTTTTCTATTCAAAGGTAAAAACTCTCAAATTAGATATTTAATTCATAGCACTAAGGGTTCAGATATTCAAAAAAAATCACGTTTCATTTTCCACACCACACACATCTGTTAAAGGTAAGGATGGTGTCTCTTTCACAAAATTACATGATTTAGGATTGGGAAAAAACTACACCAACTAAAATTCATTTGGTCTGCAAATGTTGTAATTACAGGGAGACAAGGATTTTTTAAGATTAAATTTACAAATGTCAGGAGTAAAGGTTACAGATATATTCTTATAAATGCAAGAACAAGCTTGGATTTTGAATGAGAGAAATAATTTTAAAAAGTCTCACCCTAAAGGAACAGCATTGACACTTTTCTGCAAAAGGGAGGTAAAAAATATGAGTTTTTACAGGTAACACAGGATTTCCTATCTCATATTTCTTTTGTTAAAATCTAGTGTATCCTTGATATTCATGAAACAATGCTGTCATCTTCCTTTCAACTTAAAATGTGAGAAGTGTCTACACTTCTTTCTCATGCACTATAATGTTCATTAGTGTACAAATAACAGTGTTGAGATTTATGCACAAGTTTACACTCTAAATTAGGAGGGAATATCATGAAGAAGTGAAGGCTCCCTGACCCCACAAAGTGGAGCTTAGGAGAAAGTGCCACTAAGGGATTCCTCTTCCTCTGCTTTATTACTCAAGTCACAGTCCCAAGACACATGAAACGAGTTTACTTTAGCCTCTAGATAGCAGAGGGCTAGAGTCAGAGGAAGAGAAAAGGTGAGAGAAAAAGAAACTGATTGAGAAGCCGAGAGTAGCAGCCCAAAAATGAGGATAAGTGAAGGGATGAATGAAGGGGAAGTGACAGGGACATAGTGCTGAATGTCAGGGGGCAGAAAGGAGACCCAGACCTTGGGGAGGCTGGGGAAAGCAAGATAGCCATCTTCATCAAGAAGGGACGGCAAGCCAGAGGGGAAGCATTTGTGCAAACTAAAGGAGAAGTAGGCCAACTCCGAATCCTTGTGGTCAGCTGTTTGAAGAGTCTTCTCTGGAAGGGGGTAAGGACAGTCAGGCTGAGGGGCTACGGCAGGATCCAGCACCGGATCCGGGGTGGCACCTTCAGGGTCTCCCTGCCCTGCTGGTTCACCTGTGGAAAGGAGCTCTAGTTTGTCTACTGTGATCTGGTCGGCCTCCCCAAAGGGGTCTTCCTCTGAAATGTCGGAAAGCAAATCCATTTCAGGGACTGGCAACAGGTTTGGGAGAAAAGATGAGGCATAGCGGATGAGCGGTGAAGGTGGGCAAATGGAAACAGTCTATTTTCAGGGGTAAATCCATGATTGAATATGAAATTACACAAGAGATCAAGTCAAAGGAAAAACAAATGCAAGAAGAAAGAAAAGAAGAAATGGGTCATTAGTGAAGACTTTACTCTGAAGTAGGGATCAAATAACACATTGCTCTTATAAAATGACTTAAATGACTCGTTTTTAAAACTGGAGTACTTTCAGTATGTAAAATCCATAGGTACTAACTGACATTTTCAAGCTGGTTGCAAATAAATCCCATCAAGTCCAATACTAGTATTTAATCTTAAACCCGGTTGCTGAAAAATGTTCAAAGTATTGGCAAAAAAAAGCCAACATATCCATTTGTTTGCTGAAGAAAAGCAGAATTTCCTTTAGAATTTAAAAGAACATTTTCTGTTTTATATAGTGTGTCAAATTAAGCAACAAGGAGCAAAGACTTTCTGAAATTCTGAGCTCTTCTGTTTCAGATGTAAACACTTACTAGCATAATTATAAAAATGATTGACACCTTCTCAGCAGTTAACGAAATACCTTGTTGGACTCAGTCTATATTCTCAACTAATGTTCAAACACATAATTTTCACATATTACGACCACAAATCAGTTAGCAATGAAATGCAAATGACTGGCTATCATGTATGAGGCAGACACTTGTGCTGAGGCAACAAAACCCACCTGATCCCTCAGCAGCTATCGACACAGGAATTCCTGTGGTACTGGCAACCACTTTATCTAGCAGATTGCTTATATATTCAAAGTTACATTTGGAATGCATTACAAATCAAGGGAATGATTGCATTCATTTTTAGCGAAATGTTTTCACATGTTATGCATAAGACAAACACAGGCAGGGGTGGCGCTGTGGAGTAACAGATAAGGCCTCTCCTTGGGCGCTGGCATCCCATATGGATGCTGGATTGAGTCCCAGGGAGTGCACAGTTTAAAATCCAGCTCCCTTCTAATGTGCCTGGGGAAGTAGCAGATGGTTCAAGTACATGGGTTCTTCCACCCACAAAGGAGACCTGGAAAAAATCTCCTGGCTCCTGGCTTCAGACCAGTACAGCTCCAGCATTTGTGGTCATTTAGAGAGTGAACCAAAGGACAGGTATCTCTCTTTCTCTCCTTTTCTCTCTCTGCAACTCTACCTGTCAGACAAAATTTCCTTAAAAGTCACTTTATATACACAATACAAGTGATCTGAAGAACTCAAGCTTTTCAAATAAAAAACATTAAAGCAACTTTGCTGCCCAGAGTAATAAAAATAGTGACAAATTTAAGAACACAGTACAGACTCCTTCTCCATGATGATATATGCACAAAAAACAAACCTATCATCAACACGCCATTGTCTCACTCATTATTTACAAAGCAGTTACTCTTGGATGTACAATATCTTCCCAGTTGTAGATTTTATATAATAACCTTTGTGCATGTCAAAAATTCAATAATTAAAATAAACAATACACTATAAACTCTACTTGTAACAAACAGGTATAAATTTCAAATCATCCCTAGCATTTATAATATGGGGGTTTAATCAGAAAGGATGATCATACAGACAGAAAAAAAGGCCCATGTGTTACTCACTTGCATCACTATAACTTTAACCAAAATATTCTGCTTTCAGTAACAATCAAGAAAACAAAACGTTAGCGATCACAGTCCCAACCACGAAGACTGGACGTGCATTTCCTACTGGGAAATAACGTCAACAGGAGAATGTACAAAATCAAAATGTTTGATTTCTGGAATAGAAAATGCAACAGATGAGCCCTAGTCTAGGGAGCCCTTTCCAACCACAGACCGTGCTGAGATGCCATACCTTTCCTTCCAGCAGTGGCAGCTGGGAAGCTTTACTGGGGCTTCTGATTTCCCTCCTGCTGTCCTCATCTTGTACCACAGCCATGCTGACAACTCCAGGTCCATAGGGTGAGATCTCCCCAGCGGGGCCAGGAAACTCTTTTCCAAGTCTTTGGTCCATAACTCCAAGCGCGGCTGGCAAGAAAGAAAATTTTATTTTATCTCGGGCCATGGAAATAGAAAAACTTCCCTGAAATTTACCTCCTAACAGTTAATCAGGCAGCATGTGAATAATGAACAGGGACACACTGCTTGAATTTTGAAAACATCGACACATAAGGTTAACTCATTTTTAAAACTTTCACTAAGCCCTTAAGGTATTCTGAAATTTAACCCACTGAATTATACTAGGTCTCAGTGTAAAGATTTTTGAAGGATAGGTGTTGCTTATGGATTTGGCCAGTAGGAGGAGCTCAAACACCAGACAAAATTCCAGAATTGGGGCAAAATGTCAGAATTACAACGTAAGGAAGATTTTAATTCTCTAGGGTCGCTTTAATCTTGCTTGAATTTGTTCCTTAATCTAACCATTGGATAATTATCTAACTATTAGTGATTTGTTTCAAGTATGTTTTGAAGAGTCCCTCAATAAGGCAATCCTTAATTTAAACACCATAAGAACATAAAGGTAGACTTGATTTAGCTTCTATGTTTGCTTAAAATTTTTCATTCTCCTAAACTCTACGCTGCTGCATGTCTCCAGCTGAACGACAGCCAACCTGAACACAGACATCCTTCATAGGGCCCACAGTGAGCACAGTCCCCCTGCACTCCTTGCACTCCTCCTACAGATGGAGACAAGACAGCCTCAAACTTCAACAGGGCAACATGAGCAGCAGGTGGAAAACCCTTTATTTGTAGTTTCTACTCAAAGAACTCCCAGAAGGGCATTTCAGCACAGTGCTTTACTGACACTTTATGATCGGCTTGAGTTCCAGACCCACAAGTGCCTGTAGGCTGCAGGTGCACGGAGGGAAGTAGCTGTGTGTGGTTCACCACACTGACCTTGGAAAACATCTAGTAATTTGAATCATGTATCTGAGTTACTTCTCAAACTATATCTCTCCCCCAATCTTTCCAAAGCTTGCTTTTCTGCTCTTGCCTATTTCCCAGACGCCACCCATACACTTGCACTCAAGTGCTGCAGCTAAACCTTCCAGGACTCTTTCCTGACCCCTTAAGACCAAGTCCAGCAGAATCCACCTATTTTTAAATCTCCATTGCTGATATCCACAACTGATTGCTTCCTAGCCCTTAAGTACAATTACTTCTGAAAGTCAGCACTAATTCACATGAAACATTAAAATGACAGCTAGGCTAAGTCTATGACTTGTGAATAATGATGATTTCTAACTATCCATTAAATATAATGGGGAATTACTACAAAAATAAAAAATGTGATCAACAAAAGGTATCACAGAATAACACTAAAATTTAAATACATATCAAATTTAAAGATTTAAACTAGAGTTAACAAAATGATCATCTTGCACACTTGGAAACACTTAATTTCTGTTTCCCGCTTTCCTTACACATACTGAAACCAATGCATTTTTTAATGGCATAAAATCCTTGTAAAGAAGCCTGAGAACGTCACAGGTATGGGCACTGAGCCTACAGTGCCAAGGTTAACTCACTCAAGGTCACATGATCATCATCTTCATTGAGACCACCGGTTTTTACATTGTAAGAAATCCCCAGAAAATTTATGTGAAGATTATTATATCTCAATGATTCTAGTCTCACTTAAAAAACAAACAGGAAACTGAAAATACAACATTTGGCCAAAACAAAAAGAAAGGTAGCCTGATGAGGAGTAGAGAAAATAGAACTCAGAAGTTGGTTACTGAGTGGCCCTGCCTTGGAATAAAGCACTAAGTCCTCACTAGAGCTCTCTGCCTGCTGGTCATGGAGTGGCGTGAAAAGCCTCCTGTTTTTCAGAATAACACAATAATCCTTTTGATGACTTGTCCATCTGATGAATGACAGTGTCCAAAACACAAAGGGAAAAATAATGGGTAATTGTGCCATGTTTGCTGCTTTTACTTGTAAAAATCATTGTTTTCAGAATGATACAAACTCCCACCACCCTCTGTGCTAACCACCAATACAAGATGGTGGGTTTCCTTTAGCATGGTTTATATACTTCAAAAACAAACAGAAAAAAACTGCACTGGTTTATCGCTCTTTTAAATACCTAAGATTGGTAATATAAGGATTAGCGAGCCTCCTACTTTAAAACAAAGGCTGAAAACATAAAGTGATCCAAAAGAGAGAAATGACTTCTCTCAGGATATTAAACAACAGTGAATTTATTTATTCAGTACTTGCATAGATTCTCTGCGGCAACAGAGTTAAGACTTGAGAAATGTACACACAAGACTGGCACACTATTTCAAAAATCCTTGGAAAAATGTCCAGTTGGGAATAAGCATCAATAATTCTCTACATCTATATCACTGTATCTGGAAATGTGGAGATCTGTTGGGGATAGCCTCATGGTCATCCTTGCACAATTTTTGTAACCTTCATAAAATTACATGGAAGCTTCTCTAAAATCTAGATTGAATAACAATAACAAATATAAATGTCATCAAAATCCTACCAACAACTCCTGGGAAATATCTGTATGTCAACCTTGCACCTGTTTTCCAAGTGTTTTTCTAGAAAATGTAGATAAAGCCAATGGCTGTCAATCCTTCACTAATGACAAGCGTTTTTGTGTTAACTATCTGATCAGTGTTATCCAATTATTTAAAATTAAATTGTTCAAATTCATATTTCAGGGGAAAAACATGAAGTAATACCAAAATAGTTTTTTGCTCAAAAACAATCAAATAAAATTTTTCAAATTTAAGATAATCATATATATGTATAATAAATCAGTAAAAAATTACAAAATTGTTTATCATAGAAAGTTATCCATATTACTTTCTATTTTTACATAGCAAAAAATTAAACCCATCATTTAGCACCCTAAAATAGTATAAATTTGTTATACATTATAAACATAATTTAACCTTAGCACTCTTATTGGGAATACATCAGTAACTCATTAAATAATGAGACCAAGCAATAAGATACATTTATGAAATAAAACACTGTCTTTAGTGCCAATTAAGTTCCAAATATAGTTTATATAAAATAGGATGTATTAAACACATTAAAACCAGTAAAAAAAATCACATTTATATAAATTTTCCTCTTATGATGAAAAACAAATGAACATATTTTCTTTGTTTTTGTTAAAATTATATATATATGTGTTATATATATAAAGTTAATCCTTTAAAGCGGTAAATGGTTTCTGGTACTTAAGAAAATTTGATAGCTTCAGTAGTTTTTAATTAAACTTACAGAACACTGGTGATGGTAGGAAAGTTTTATAATCATTTGAATTCAGAAATATATTTTGACATTAATTAATAAGTTCAAGAAACTAAGCCATATACACCAAAATCAAGTCAAACCAGTAAACATGTTTACCCAACATTTCCTGAGCAAGAACTATCAATCAACATTCTCAGCACTGACAATGCAAAGAAAATGTTCATGACAACTTCAAATCACTACCAAGATTATTTGCCATGAACAAAAGCACTTTTATTTCCCAGGGAACAGAATGACGGCAACTCTTCTAGCTTTCTGCTGGTGACTTTATTAACCAGACCACTTAGAGAAAGACGAAAGGAACCCAAATGCTCAGAAGGGGATTTACCTCCATCTAGACTCCTGGAGGCCCGTTTACTCGAGGTGCGCTCAAAGTGTGGTGCTGGCCTGTCTATGAGGGTGCTGGCCTGGCGGGTCTGCGCTTGAGTGCGGCCGCTGTAGCGAAATTTAGACCCCAAAGTCAGGAACTTGGCCTTTGGTGGCTGTTCTGGAGACACAAGCCTGTAGCGGAAAAACAAGGAGCAAAATTAGACTTGACAGATTTTCTCCTAAAAGTGTTAGTACTACATGCTTCTAATCTCTCCTTTTCAGAAGGACTACTCAAAAGTAATGCTAAACTTTCTAATTTAAGAACATTATTTAAAAACTCTCACACAAACACAGCTTTATGGTGGTAATGAATATATCCAAATTCATGAATTTGTGAATGTTTTCTTAAACCTAAGGAAAAAGGCAGCTGTTCTCATTGTGGCTATTTATTTGTATTATCCTAAAATCGTTTCTATAAACACGTCGGAATTCTTGCTCTTAGCTATAAGTGCCAAGTAGCAAGCTATTGCCATTAGTAATTCCTCGTTTTTATGCCTCTTTCTCCTGAGGAAAAAAAAAAATCCAGCTTGAGAATCTGTTCCGCCCATTGCCTCCTTTCCAAGAACGCAACACACAGAGTGAATCTGCAGATGACTCACAGTCTCTTGGCAGCATCAGCCCTGGGCTCAGAACGAATGAAGTCAAACATTCTTGTTGTCAAATACTTCCAGACTTAAACAAAAGCATGTTTTTCAGTAACTGAGGCAATCTTTTTTGGAATACAATAGAAACTGCCTCACTCTCAATATTTGATCAGGGCTGACAAAATATCTTAAGCAAAAAAAGATAATCTGGAAGCTCTTATAAATACTTATTAAATAAGGAGGTTACGGTTAACAATCCAAGAAGAAGAAAACTCTACCAAAACTTATCCTATCACTTTCTAAAGAAGGGTGATTTCAGGAAAAACTCTTATTCTTTTAAGTATTTCTTCTGCACATTTTTTTCTTCCTTTTGAGCAGTGAAAAGATCCGAGTCAGGTAAAGTTAAGCATAGTAAAGCAAGAGGCAATACTCGTGAACACATGGTTTCCAACAGTATCTGCCAAGAGAAGCAGCATATTAGAATCAAACTGATAGAAGACAAACAGCTTTCTTGATTTTCACATAAAGGGGCAGAGTGTATCTTGACAACTTCCATTTTATGCCAGCAGATTTTCAAAGGAAACACAGAAACACCTGAGAAAGTGCAAGCTGACGATGGATAGTGCCTGAAATTGTACTTGGGAAACAGCTTCGTACTCTTAGAGTGCTAGAACGGAACTTTAGATCAGAAAAGAACCTCGCTATGGGTGTTCTTTTCCTCAGTTAGTTGAGGAATGAGGTACAGTGCATTGACTGTAACAGGCAGGATGTGAAATGAGGTCACTGTGCACGCCAACTGGTAGGTGAAACACGGCAGGGCCTTCTCTCCCTAGCACTCCAGGTAACCATGATCTAAGAACACCCTATAAAAAAGCAGGGATCTACAGAAGGGATTTCTGGGAAGCTCATCAGTGCAATAACTGATCGAGAAACATTTCTTCTATTTGAAAAATAAGTTAACCAAATCACATTAGTCTTAACTACTTGTTAATGAAACATATAGTCTGTAACTTCTAAATTGTCAACTGAAGTTAAAAAAAGAAATTTCTAAAGAATTTGCCAAAGGGAAAAATATATTAATAACCCAAGAGGAAAACTCCAAAATTCAAACAAAAGAAAACATAAAGAAAAACAACTTTCTGGGATTATGAAAAAGAATTTTTAAGGATACATTTGCAAAAATATCTTTTAATTTTCCACTTCTACAAAATGCACTGGATTGGGCCTGCACGGTGGGCACAGCACACCAATCGTCTACCTGTGATGCTGGCATCCCACATGAGCACAGATTCAAGTCTTGGCTGCTCCTCTTCTGATCTAGCTCCCTGGGGATGGCCTGGAAAGGCAGAGGCGGCTTGGGCCCCTGCAGTCATTGTGGGAAACCTGAAGCGCTTGGCTTCCAGCTTCAGACTGGCCCAGCTCTGTCCAGTGCAGACATTAAGGGAGTAAGCCAATGGATGAAGATCTCTATCTGTCTGTCCTACCTCTCTAACTCTTTCATGTGAAATAAATAATTCTTTTAAAATAATGCAGTGGATTTATAAAGATAAAACTTCATACTTCAGAAAATAACTTTACAGAAAATTAGAGCCACTGTTTTTTTAAAAACATATATACTATTATATATTATGTATATTGTATATATGCACATTTTCAGCATTCTAAATAATAACTCCATTTAAAAATAGCTCTTGATCTCTCTTAAAAACAAAGTTGGTTATAAGCTCTATACTCTTCACTCTTCACTAGTACTGAATAGGTCAGGCTTATTGCAGATTTTAGGTTTATCTTATTTATTTAAGAGGCAGAATTTCAGAAGAGGGAGATTTCATTCGCTATTTTACTCGCCAAAAGCACAGGAGATGCAACTGTTGACAAGGCACACCTTGAGTGTTAACAAAGCACACACGGAGGGAATGCAGCGGGGAGAGCAGCAGAGAGGAGAATTGAGAAGGCCAAGGCTAGAGGCCTCAGCAGTTTGACACAGCTGCCACCCCCTGTCCACACATCTGAACAGGTTCCAAGCAGGAACACCGGGTGATTTGCTTGAAAGTACCTGTAGAAAGTATGATGTTCCACACACACTTTCCATAGCCTTTTTGCTGCCCGATGGTTTGGCAGTTTGAATCCAATGGTGCTCTCAAACTGTTCCAGCTGCAAGAAATCCACCAAACAAATCAGCCTATTTTGCAAGGCGCTGACAAGAAGCTACTGAGAAACAGGCACTCATGTTTCTGCAAGTAGTATTCTTTTGAATAAAGGTAAATATATCTAATGTGAAGATGTAAAACAATTTTTTCTAAGACCGCAACATTATTTTTTATGAAAAGTAATTATCAACCACTTACATAAGCCAAATATTTGTTAATGTCCACTAAAATCATTTCATTGCTTTGGTATTGATCTCCACCACCTAACTGATCTAATAACCAAAAATGAGCTACCCTATGTGCCAGAAACCTGCTGATTTTATTCTAAGATAGATACGATTGCTGTTTTTTATAAACAGGAATATGGACATGCAAGCTTACAACTGAGAGCTCTGATTCCGGGGCCAGCCACGTGGTGCTGCAGGGCAAGCCACTGCTAGCAAAGCCAACATTCCACATGAGTGCTGGGTCAAACCCTAGCTGTTCCACTTCCAATCCAGCTCCTTCTTGGTGCATGTAGGAAGCCAGGGGAAGGACAGCCCAAGTACTTGGATCCCTGCCACTCATGTGGAAAAGGTGGTTAAAGCTCCAGGATCCAGGCTTCTGCTTGTTCCAGCAACAGCCACCACAGTCATTCAGGGAATGAACCAGCAGATGGAAGATCAAGCTGTCTCTCACCAGCTTTCAAATAAATAAAATAAATTTAAAAACATTTTTAAGTGGATTTTTTGTGCCATAAGAAAATTTTAAAAATAGTTTAGTCTCTTAGAATTGTAGTAGAAAATAACTGATTTAGGTGATGCTTGGAAAAAAAAAAAATGACAACTGTTTAGGTATGCCAAGGGCTACACAGTATTGCTTACCTCTGCTGGTCTAACTTTAATGTAGAAGTTACTGCGCTTGTAAGAAATTTTTAAGATTTTTGGCCAAGCAAAACGATTGATTCTCAGTCTGTCTTTGTAAATGAGAAGTCCGTTAGCGCACACGCCCAACTTGATGTCCACGCCTTCTGAGTCCTGCCAATACAACCATTTGACCAGAGTTAGAGGTATGAAAACTATATGGATCAGGATGCAAACTAGTTCCCTCAAAGAAGGACGCCCAGGAACGCCAGCTTAACAGGTTTGTGTCAAGTTTATTGGCAGTAAGCACATTGATGAAAATAGTAGTACACACATACTTGAAGTATTTTCAACTCTAACGATGAAATCTGATTTACCAAAGAGTGAGGGCAACATGATTATAGGACACAGTACTCTTAAAACACATAATTAATGCATTCTCAAACTGTACAGCAAAGAATAAGATATAGGATATACAGAATAAGGTAGCCTCAAGAAGTAAGAAATAAAATGTCCTCCTGGATGCTCTGCCAGCCCTCAGGGACAATCTGTCAGTCCTACAAAGGGCATTCAGCCATTTTCCTTTAGGCAAATTTATCTCAGAGGTATTAAGCTAGCTAACAGCTGTTAAAATAATGGCTGTATTTTGCAACACCAATGACTCAAATGGAAATTTCTCTCCTCAGCTGACAGCGGTGAAATCTATGAATTCTTTCAAGTAATTTTTTAGTAACTCAGTGTTGTAATCCAGTTTTCATTAAGCATTCCTTCAGCTGGCACATTTCAAAGGACTGGGGACTACTTGGAAGTTATGAATAGTTTTCTTGCCTCAGAGCTTTAATTTGGGATAGATCACAATCTAAGATAATCAAAACATGAAAGAATTTTTTTAATTGAATAAATTTATAGGCTTGTTAGATAAAGACTGTCTTCTTACATTTCAAGTAAAGCCAACGATCACAATTGAAAACATTAAAAAAAAAATAAATTCTAGTTCATCATTAACAGCAGAACTCATTCAAAATATGTAAAATTGAAGAATCTGTTTTCCTACCTTCCAAATCATTAACAATTAAATTCTCACTGAAAATGCTGGGACAAATAGCATATTTAGTCTAAGTTTCAACTCAATAATTACACCATTATAATTTAACATCACCGATACTAATTCTTTAGAAGTAAAAAATACTGGACTGGGTAATAGTAATTGCTTTCTCTGCAGTGATATTTGAACAGTTCACATATACAAACAAATTACACTGGAACAACTTTAGCAGGCTAAAAGATCTAATCTATATGGTGTATGACTCACCGTTATTTTGGCGCCCACAATTCTCTCCAGGAAGAGTAAAAAGCTAGAATGAATCATCTACAGGTGCCCCAAGCAACTTGGCACCAGACACAAATGATGTATTTGCCACTGCCCGTGGCCACAGAGAGACAGGTCACAATGGCATATCTGCCAAGATGGCATATCCTGACCACCACAGTGTTCATCATTTGAAATACTAAACAAAACTATTTAACTTGAAAGTTTTTGAATAGGACAATCCAGCTTTAAAAAATCACGCTAATTCAAGTATATTTCAAGTACATAAGGGGATTTCTAGCTGTTCCATGTAACTGTTTGAAATTGTCTGCTCAATTTTATATGCTCAAAAATCATAGAAAAAGGACAGGAAGTAGAAGGCTGTAAAGCATGCCCTGATGTTCTGTTTTTTAATTACGTCACTTAGCAACAAAGTCACAAATACAAGGAGAGACTCTCCCACAGCTCTCTCCTTCCACGCCTGGCATCTGCTGTCTGCATCTCCCCCTTGAGGCATAGCGCAGCTATTTTATCAGCTTGGCCATGGTACTAGTTCTGTGCTTTCCTGCACTTTCATCAAAAGTTTGATTCTGCACTCTTCAATATGTCCAACTAGAATGTGCCATTTAGAACTCATTCTAATTAAGAAAAAGAGAGAAATTCATAAATACACAAATTACAAAATTTTAATGACATATAAAGTCTTTTTAAATTGTCAGATACTTTCTAAATGAGCCACAAACACGTTATTTGCCAATTATTTTCTAATTATCAAATGACAGATAATAAATACTACCCTGCATTTTTTAGTGTTCTGCCCCCAAATAAAACAGACATTGTTATACTTAACTGAGAGCCTTCAACTTTTTACTTTTCTAAGACATCCCATTAAAAAAAACAAGAGATTTCAAATCCTACAATATTGACATCTGAGAATTGGCTTCTTAAGCTCAAAGTAGAGAGAAGCATGGTTTACTTTGTATTACTTTGATATTTAAGGTATAAAGGAAGCTAGAATTAATAACACAAAAGCAAAAAATACTAACATGGAACCTAGGGTGGAAAAAATTACTTGTGTGGAGGTCATTCCTAGAGATTTGTCTGAAGATGTAACCCTGGCTTCCTATGTTACACGTTAAGGACCGGCAGGGTCTTTCAACAGCAGGTTCCCTCCAGATACTAAATGGCCTATGGAGAATTCTGACAGAGCAAACTGGTCTTTCACCTTTCCTTTCATCCTGACCATAAAGATCACCCAGAGTCACGATGTAGAGGATATCTGTCACTGGCCCAGTCAGCTCAACCTCTCCTACCACAGATTTTTCACAGATTTTTATCATTCCATTCACTTGCTACTTCTCCAAGTCAACTAAAGATGCTTCAACACCTGTAGCTGGCGGCAATATGCCTGTTCTTTCACAAAACAGTCCAAGGCAGGAAAAGGCACAATCTTCTCGCAGGAAAAGGCCTAATTTTAGGCTTCCTCGCACAACCCAGCAGCTTTATGGAAGGTGACTATATCTGTGTCACACTGGCTCTCCCAAGATTGCTAAGATCTGTTACCTTCTCCTGAACAGAGGTTAAGAGAAAGAACTCAGACTTGGACAGCACCTGGTCTAGAAAGAGCTAGCATGCAGAAAAACCAGGATGGGGTGAAAAACACTGACAATGCGCATCTCTCACTGAACATCTAAGAAAAGATATTAACTTAAACAACTGAGAAAAGAACACAACAGGGAGAGAAAAAACGATTCCTTTGACAGCCATAAACCCCACAATTAGTCGCACACACAAAAATACCATATAGATCCTTGGGTGAAAACAAATAGGTATTCCTCATGGGTGAACTGGGCAGTCTTGAAACCAGAACTTCCCAAAACTTCAATCAGCAGAACAGAATGTCGCCCCCTCCCGTTAATCCACAGTACCTTGGCATGATGCAGGTCTACACCATACATGGAAAGCCTCTTCGCATTTTCTAAGAACTGAGAATCAGCTTGTGCTGGAGACAAGCCCCTGAGAGTCAAGAGAAACAGCACAATTTTATTAGTTGATGCACAGGAAACGTACTCAAAATGGGGAAAGGCTGTGTGAGCTCTGAGAGTCTGGGGTAGTCCAGGTAACCTGGCGAAGTTTGCTGGAAAATAAAAATAGGTATGCAGACTCAACTCTCAACTGCTATTCACAAAGAAATATACCATCACTCTTGCCCTTTTATCTTACAATGTTTTAAAATTATTTCTACTTGATAAAAAGGCCCCAGCAATAATATGAACAGCTAAAAATAATATTTTAAAAAAATTGATTCCATCTTGCTAACAAAACACAGGTGTACCTCTTAATCTTATTTTGCTAGGATAAATCATAATTAAGATGGAAATGACTTGCATTTGACTTGCACCCATGGAGGATAACATACTGCACTCCTCTGTCCATACTAAAATTATTTCCATTTCCTACCTAGGTCCCCAGATACACAAATTTTAAGGTTCTAGAGAACAGGGCCATGTTCCATTAACTATATTTCCACAGCATTACAGTACCATGTATTCCAAATGGCAACTATACCTTCAATGTCTGGTAAGTAAAATTTAAATAAAGTTAACAATACTTGTATTCAAATGTGGCCCTTATAATTTTTCAAAGAAAAATCTATGAATGTAATCTATTTAAAACCTCAAATCTCTGTAATCTCCTTTCAAATCATTCTAGTCCATTTCTTTAAAAATTTGTTTACTTGAAATACCAATTATCAGAGAAGAGAAGGAGAGCCATGTGCTGGCATAGTTTAGATGGCTCCAACAACCAGGGCTGGGCCAGGCCAGGCCAAGGCCAGGAGGCAGGAGCTTCCTCCCTGTTTCCCACAGGGTTGCCAGAGGTCCAAGCACTTTGGCCATCTTGCACCAATTTCCTAGGACATTAGCAGGGAGCTGGACTGGAAATGGGGCATCCTGGACTGATTCCAGTAGCCACACAGGATACCAGAATCACAGGCAGTGGCTTAATACACTATACCAAAATGCCAGTCCTTCCAGTCAATATTTGATAAAACTGTAATTCTGTAATATATTATTTTGTAAATAGAGTTTTAAAATCCTGTGTAAGACATCTATTATCTTTTCACACAAATATCAAAGCCCTCAATGTGTAACATGGTGTTAAAGTACTTCAAGTATTCCCTAGTGAGCACAGGGTATTTTCTGCATTCAGTGAAGCCTTCTATGCACCTCAGCTACTACTGCTATATCCATCACCACTGACATTTCTTTTTAAAATGCACTTATCTATATGACAACCAGAGTGACAGAGAATGGAAGAGAAAGAACCTTCCATCCATTGGCTTACTCTCCCAATGACCACAACAGGCAGCCATGGTCCAGGTTGAAGCCAGGAAAGTCATCTGGATATTCAATGAGCATTGAAGGGCCCAAACATCTGGTCCATCATCCACACTTTCCCAGAGGCATCAGAAGGAAGCTGGACCAGAAACAGAACATGCACCCTGATATGGATGCCAGGGACTGTAAGTAGTGGCTCAAACTACTGTGCCACAATGCTGACTCCCACCATCCACATTTCTAATTCAAATCCTGATGCCCCATTATCTCCCAGGCCTTCTTATCATATACATTTATGACAACAATTAAAAGGAAGTGCAAATAGGTAAATGGCCTTCCAATAAATTAGCATAGATTATCTCGTTGGCACAGTTCCTCATATTATAGCCACAAAAGCAAAAACAGCCTATCCCCAAGGTTGAAAGTTGTCTTGAAGGTTCTGAGTGTAGCTCCTCATAAAGACAATGATGGCTCTCTCAAGGCTGTCCACACTAGGAACACAAAAGCAAAAACCAGGTAACACCATAATCTTCTCAAACACCTAGCCAGTGTTCCGAGAGTGATACTGAAATCTACCCACAGCCATCCTCGCTCTCCTCTTCCCCATCAACCCCATCCCCATCCCCATCCAGCCGGTCAACAGACCTATGGGTTTTATGCAGCTCAGCCACCTTCTCTTCCAGCTCCTTAGTCTGTGTGGGAGCAAACTGGAAATCACTAAGGTCAATACTGCCATGCTCTTCAGGGTCATAATCCCCAAGTTCAGCCTGCAGCGTGTAGGATCCCAAAAGGGCATGAGTCACAAAAGAACAGGGCAGGCGGCCAGAGGCAATGTCCTGTCGAAGCTGAAGGCACAGGAAGTACCTGAGGAGCAAGGGGAGAAAAGCAGGACAATTAGTTATGCTTATAGGGCTTCAAATCCTAAAATATTAGTATTCCTTTGAAAACAAACATACAAGGTAAACATTTATCCATACCAAATTCATCCCCCAGATTCCTACACTTGCAGACTATTCAAAGAAACTGAGCCCAGAAGATTGTTTCCTAGAATGGGAATACTGAACTGCTCTCTGGTAATAGCTAAGCCATGATTAATGTCACAGTGAAAAATTTTGCAACTTAAGTAAAAAAGCTTTCAATTGCTGAAACCGTGATAACAATTAGCATACCCCTCAAGAGCTATAAAAAAGAATGAAATTTTTAGAACTACTGTCTCAGTCAATGGCATGAAAAGGTAGTGTCACCCCATCTTGGATCATCTCTTCACACTACTTTCCAAGTAAATCTCCATTTGGAAGCTTCTGCTCCTGCACCTATGCTACCCAAAGAGGCAGTTTTTCAGTGTTCAAGACAGACTTGGCAGCCTGGGAGAGCTGATGCTGTGTGACATTCAGTAAGGAGAGTTACTGATCTAAGGTTAATCTGCTTCCTGCAAGATAGAAAGAATTTTACCTCCCCATTAAGGGGGGCATAAAAAATGAGACACTACAAGTAAAATGTCTGACATGGTACTGGAAATTAATAACTGGTAAAGATAATAATTGTTAGCTACAGCAGTGATATTCTTTAATATTCCATATGGCTTGCTGCAAGCCAAAAAAAGAATTTATTTTTCACTAAATAGCATGTAGAAACATGCGATTTATATTCTAGAAATTTTTCATTTCAACCTCTATCGGTTCCTTTTGGTGGCTTTTTAAATTTTATCACACATCCCTCTGAAAAAATGACCCATGCCCTCATTCTAGAAGATCTTACAGGAATTGCCATTCATACCGGCAGTTGGTCACTTTCTTCCTGTGTTTATTTTTGTTTAGACCAGGTTTTAGGCTCAACTCTCCTCCTGCTCTCTCCGTAACACATTCAAATAGCAGTGCTGGCCTTTGGTCCAGGCTCCCTTATTGAGTTAGCTGAATCTACTACCCAATTCAGATAAGCTCAGTTACACATTAACCATTATCCAAATCTATCACAGGTAGGGCATGGACTCTGTTTATTGTTGTCCATCATCATCATCATCGCTCCAGGACAGGCAAAGACTTCCCATATGGCAGGTGCTCATTAATACTCTTGAGAATAAAAAGTCTTCTCAATATTACTACAGTCTGCTAATCTGTAGGCACTGCAGGGACTCTTATTTAAGAAGAATTGCATTTCCCTAGAAGAACCTCGGTGGAATTACGTTCACTTTAAGAATGATTTACTTACTTGAAAGACAGAATAATATACAGAAAGGAAGGAAGGAGAACACAGGGATGGAGTAGAGGCAAAAGACAAAAAAAAAAAGCTTCTAATGTTTGCTGGTTCACTTCCCAAATGCCTGCTAGCTGCAACATCTGGCCATAAGTGCCCTTTTGAAAACATAAAAAACACTTTTAAAAAGCATATAAAAATCACTGTTTATACTTACTGTTCAAACTTGCTGTTACCAAATCAAGGAAATTCTACAGTTTGTACTCAGTCTAGGATACTTTAGACATCAACGTAATGATGATTCAAATGCCCTCTTGTTAGCAAATACTCAGCCAGCCTCAGAATCAACTGTTCTTTTGCTCCTAAGCTAAATCCTTTATCAATCATATATTCCTATAGACTATACAATTTCCAAACAGATTATTTAAAATACCTATTGACTCTACCTAAGAAAGCATACCAAGTTAGCTATGCAGGATTTCGTTAGAGGAGAATAGAGGATAAAAATGACTACTTCAATTAAAACAAATGTTATTTATTTACTACTACCTCAGCTTTGCAATATGAGGCTATTTGAACACAGGCACACAAAAATTACACAATCAAACCCTATCTTCATGTTACAATCTGATTATTAAATGCCAGTGGCTTTTTAAAGAAAATTGTTTCCAGGGATCATTTTATCAATCATATTCTATCAAAGAAATAGAAATGATGAAGATACAAGCAATCAAAAATTTTTGAAACTGGCAACATTTCAAATTATTTGGAAGCAAACATTTCAAAGAAAATGTCTACACTTAATTCATAGAATACTATTTCGTTTTTTAACCCAAATTATTTCTGTGTTCCCCGCTGGGCACAAATAAATGAGAGCTAAAAGTAAAGGTTCATCTTAGAAAGATAAATCACCTGGTGATATCTTCTGTCAGTTGAGATGGATCCGGAGGATAAAACTTCACATTGAAAGTGAACAGCCATGGAAGATCTGCAACGATTAAACTTCATGGTTAACTCACGTGAACAGATGACTATCTGACATAGCACAGAGAAATCCCACTACAAATCAGTTTGTGGAATTTTGTTTCTCACTTATCATGTGGATCGCAGAGATAAAACTAAATGACAGATAAACAATGATTTCACTAAAGAAAAGACTCACTTTTTTCACATACGTTTACAATAAGTCAACAAGTGTTTTGTAATGGCAATCATTATACAAAAAGTTTAATATAACCTCCTTGTAACAGTTGAGAGAGGATTTCTCAAGTTTCATAAAGGAAAAGTGAGTATACTCCTATTTAGTTTATACCTTCACTATACAATGCTTTAAATAATGAATATATCAAAAACTGTATCATACATAGCTTTTAAAAGCTAAAACACTGGGTCCAGCACAGTAGACTAGTGGCTAAAGTCCTCGCCTTAAACGCACCAGGATCCCTTATGGGTGCCAGCTCTAATCCCAGCAGCCCTGCTTCCCATCCAGCTCCCTGCTTATAGCCTGAGAAAGCAGTTGAGAATGGCCCAAAGCCTTGGGACCCTGCAGCTGTGTGGGAGATTCTAAAGAAGCTCCTGGCTTCAGATTGGCTCAGCTCTGGCTGTTGTGGCCATTTGGGGAGTGAATCATTGGACAGAAGGTCCTCCTCTCTGTCTCTCCTCCTCTCTGTATATCTGACTTTGCAATAAAAAATAGATTAAATAAAAAAGCTAAAACACTGCAACCTACATGTTTTCATATATACTGTTCTGAGTAGCTAACAACATCGGATCTGAAGAAAGCATGTTCTATCTTGCTTAAGAGGCTCCTATAACCACAGAAGCCTGAAAGTACAGTTCTGCTCAAAGGTTAGAATACTTCTAAAATAAAAACAAAAATGTGCATGTAAGTTATTCTATACATATTTGAAGGCTTCACAAGAGCTTTAACTTATGGAATTGGCAGAAAAATTTCTGCAATCTCATTCTAATGTCAAATGTATCATTTTATTTCTCTCAAATATTTACTAACTGGTTATCCTAAGATATGAATTTTAGAAGTATTTTGGCATGATACAACACTATTCTGCTAACAAGGTCAATTCCATTGAAACTGAAAAACAGATGTCAGTTCTACCCTAAATATTTTCCTATCAAAAGACGTTTCTTGGCCTATAGCACTATGCTGATTATCAAACAGCCACACTGTGTATGCAGCAGCACTTCCTGTGAGGTGACCACTTGTCCATAGTCAACCAAAGTCACCATGGGCTTATTTCTTCATAGCCAATTTGTTTTCTCAGTATCAACACAGCATATGCTTGCCTAGATACAACTATGGGCATAGGTTCTATGGGAACATCTATATTTTAGGACATATTTTCAAATCTAAAAGTTGAAATGTACCAATAATATTATTATCTTTTAACTGATCAAAATTGTGCATATATATGATGCACAATATGTTTTGAAACACAGATTGTAAAATAACAAACTCATGTTAATCAATGTAGGTACTACCTCACAAGCTTACCATTTGGGGTTGAAGGGAACACTTAAAATCTACTAAACAATTTCCAACTTATGTCTTTAATTTATAAAGGACAATTGTACCTACCTAGTTATATCCAATTAGTCCAGCTAGCTGTGGATTGTTTACATACATTTATCCATATAAACTCTCTCTATATAGTTTTAGTTGGGTATTTTTGAGAAAACAGATTTGTCCCTTGTTACAAGCAACTCAAAAAAAGATTAACAAATACTTTACTAACTGTCCATTAACTGAAAACTAACAACAAAAGCACAGTAGGGGCAAGGCAAGGATGGAGCGGTTCCTTCCTCCATTTAAGAAAAAAACAAAACAAACAGGAAGAAAGAGATAAATACAGCAGAGAATCATCATTTCCTAAGCCTACCTTTACGGTGGAGAGGAAACCATGCAAAGAAATGAATCCAATCATTTAAAAAGCGTATCTTACTTGTTATTGCCATCCTTCCTAAACCACGAGGGAAAAAATCCTGAAATCCTTCTTTAAAAACTTTACAAATAATGAAAAACATAAGAATGTGACTTAGAATTAGCAAGAGTCTTGCCTTCCATAAAATAGCCCAACACTTTCTTTTTTTTAAAAGTTGTCCTCCTGGTGGGTCTCAGGACAGGGCGTCTCATGCCTGGATCCCGGACAGCCGCCATGTGCACATGGTGAGCTGTTCCTGGGCCTGCTGGGTTCCTGGGCCTGCTTCCTTGGGGTGAGTAGACCCGAGGGGGGAAGCCTCCGGGACTGGGCAGGTCCAGGACCCACCCGCCATCTTCATGGGGCGGTGAATGGGATTCGGGAGGGGTGCGACCTTGGGCCTGGGTTATTTAAACCTCCAGCAGTCTCCCGGCAGCTGGTGGGTCTCAGGACGAGGCATCTCATGCCTGGATCCCAGACGACAGCCATGTGCACAGGGTGAGCTGTTCCCCGGGCGGCCAGTGCGCCATTTGGTGCCAGGCTCCGCCTGCTGGCCACCCAGCCAGGGAGCTCTGGGGATTTGGTTCTTTGAGTTGCTGCTTAATTAGCTCCAGGTTGAACCCATTGTGCTTCTTGGACCTGAAACAGGCAATAACTCTTCCTTTGCAAAACTTGTAATCACTAATAATGCTGAGCACCAAATACCAGTCCATGCAGAAGCTATGGCTTGGGGTTTGTCCTGCAAAGGTAGCTCCAACAGCTGGCTAATGTGTCAACTGGTAATGGAACAGAGTAGATCAGGCACAACTGAGCAAACCTTAGCCCACAAGTAAAACTAGAAACCAGGAGGGAGCAAAGGTCATGCCGAGCTAGGCTCTTGTACCTACTATTCTGAAGAAGCCAGGGACGCTAAGCCACAGTGTCTAAGGCAGAGTTCGGGACAGGGGAGGGGCCGTGCCATGCTGAGTCAGAGCATCCACTGGCAGGCCAATGATCTATGGCTGGGAACAGGCCCGGTTGGGGAGCTAAGGGGACAACTCTAGCTGGGCTGAGGTTCCCACAAAGAGGCACGTGGCCTGGAAAGGGGGCTGCGTTCTGATCTGGAAACAGTTGCAATCTCCCTTGGCACAAGTGTGGACTGGGATTGGATGCACCAAACCGGGCCAGACCCCGACTCCCCCTGGTGTTCTGGAGGGCCAGGGCAGATGTGGGATGGACTAGGCAAGGTCTCAAACCCCTACTGAGCCATGTGTGAGCCATACGTGGGTATGGACAAACCATGGCTGGGCTGGAACATCCAACAGCAAGAACCAGATTGGGTGGAAGGCCAGTCAGGAAAAGCCACAGTTCCTGCTATGACAGGAGGTGGACTGAGTAGGGTTGGCTCATGGACCCACTGGTAAGTGTGAAACCTGGCATTGGGAGAGGTTCTGATGGGGGAGCCCGGGAAACTCCTCTGGCAGGACACAGACCCGGCACGTAAGTGCAAGAAACATGATAGGAAACGGCCCAGAAAAGGCCATGGAAAGCTACACACTGGCATACAATTGGCAGACATGGGGGCAAGACCAGGCTGAATCTGTCCACGTCATCCACTGGCAAATCCAGGCACCAGTGTGGGTCGGCCCAGGTTCTGTCGCAACAAATACTAGTGCACAATATGGAATGCCGAGGTGAGATTGCCTGTACCGGAAGGACCGCAGCGCCCAACCAGCCTGAGAACAAGAAAGGAAGTGGGAAGAGCCAGCAGAGGAATAAGGGAGGGTTCCTTTGCAGGACAGCTACTTCTGCAGGAGAGCATAGGCTGGGATGGGGGCAGACCAGACTAGGCAGAGCTACCACACCTGTGCGCCTCATGTGGACTAGATCAGGGAAAAGCCGGGCTGGGCGGATTATTCCTACTGGTGCAAACAGAATTAAAGTGGGTGAGGGTTGTTTGGGCTTAGACGCAGCATCAGCTGGAATCTGGGAGTGGGAGAGGCCTGGGAGGGAAATAGTGGGCTCATCCCTCTTGGGTTACCACTTCCACAGGAGGACATAAAACTAAGATAGCGGCTGGGGTGGAATGGAGTGTGGGACAGACTGGATTACTGCTATACTTACTGGCAAACCAGGGTAGGGGGTGGGCCTGGTGGGGGTTATTGTGGGTTGCTCCAACTAGGCTGCAGCTCCCACTGGTTTATGTGAGGGCCAAGTATGTGCTGGGCAGAAACAGGCTGGACTGCAACACCCATTGGTTCCAGTGGAAGTCGGGAGTGAAAACAGAATCAACCCAGCAATTGCAACCACCAGCTGATTGGGGCGATGGACGGTACCAGGCCCTGTACTTGCTAGCACATACAAGAAGTTTCTTTGGAGATCTTCCTAATCTAAATGCTGGACTCAGAACCATAACAAAGAAAAGAGAGAAGACAGAACAGGTCAACCAACCATCTCAGCTATGATGGACTATGTCAATCAGTGGATTTTTCAAAGACCTCATAGTGCTTGGAGTGGCAAGACTGACAGCAATTCCTGACTGTTGCAATATCAAAACCACTTGAGCAAGAACCTCAGAGCAGACCCTATATCCAGGACCTGGGGAGGGTAGGAAATTGGGTGGGCCTTCTCCCTTAATACCCCCCTTTAAACATGAAGGTAACAATATGGAAAACATACTAGTATTATCCACTTTCCTGTAGCCCTTGAACCTTCTTACCCTAATTAACTATGTAAAGAATGTCAAAATAAAATTTTATTTAAAAAAAAAAGTTGTCCTCCAACAGTTTTGAAACTTTCTAGAAAAGGCTTCTCTCAGAAGATTTCCAAAAGTAATTATCCATGACTCTGAAATGTGTGGAACACTCATTACCAGGAACCAAAACAAAATCACAGAAACAACTCAACGGAACAACAACCCTGTATAAGAAGCTGGCCTTTTCTGTATTTGTGCCACTTGGCAGGACTGGTTTCAGAAGTCTAGGAACCAAGCACGCATACACCTTTCTAAATCCATGCCCTCCACAGAGCCTGTCACTACTGCCGCAGGGACAAAGGGAGCTTTGCAGAGCTTTCCATACACTGTAGCTCTGGTTGACCATGAAGCAAAAAAGAATGAAACACAAAAATAATAAATGTAATAAGGGAAAGGAAGGGAACAATGAATGATAGAAAGGCACAAACCTTAGTTAAAAGACAGGCTGAAGAATCAGGTCAGACTGCCTAGCACTGTCCTATTTCCCGGAAAATCCCTCTGTCTCCAGCAACGCGAAAGAGTGGCGACCCTGACCAAAGACATTTTTATAAGGAAAGGGGGGTCTACAGAAAAAAAGAAAATAAGATGCCTGCTTCAAATTAAAAGGAGAGAAGGAAGGAAATGATAGGAAGATGACTGATGACCTCATCTGCACCAGCACTATCAGGGCACACTTAAACAACAGACTCACGGCATTGTAACTCCTTCTGCAGGACTGCACTATGTAACAATGCGGGGAAATCAGTCAGTGGGTGGGAACTGGAGGAGGGGGGAATCCCAGACTCTACAGAATTGTACCATAAAATTCAAAATTTAAAATAAAAACTAAAAAAGATTAAAAAGAAAAATAAAACAAAGGTAGAGAATCTGAAATGGGAGGCAAAAAGCAGAGCAAAAAACAAAAACAAAACAAAACAAAAAAGAACAAGAAGGTCAGATTTGTTTCAATCCCTTGGCATTAGCAATAAAAGCAGGAAGGTGTAATCACAGAATCAGGAATTCTGCATGTTGATTCCCCACGCTTGATCTTAGCCAGAAGGTAGAGAAGCAGTTACAGGCTAACTCTGTAAAAAATGGCTCCCCCTGGACAATTCAGGCTTGATGACTGTTAGGGATTTACCCACTCTTCAGTCTAAGCCTTCCAGCTGTCACGCCTCCCTAACTCACCTGCTTCAGTCACTGACAGACTCACTAGTAAACCAAGTATCAAATCCTCTATTTAAAATTTCTCTGGGATAATAAAGGTTCCTGGCACAGGTTTGTCACAGCCAGCCACCTGTAGAGGCAGAATCTAGGAAGGGAACTGAAGGTGTTTTAGGGCAACACACTTCACATTGTTTTTGGAATTCTATAATAAGGACAACCTGCAAAGTAGGAAGAACAACACAAGCTTAACCGACTACAATGCTAGGCTCCAAGACATGTACAATAGCCGTGGTCTGGGAAGCAGAAGGAAGGCCTGATCTGGGGAAAGTGAAGAGCTTGTTCTGTCTCTTCCTCAGTGCCCAGAAGCCTCACTCCAGCACATCTCCAGCAGTTACCTGGGTACCTCTGGGGATGCTCCAGCAGTTACCTAGGTACCTCTGGGGATGGCGACATGCTTAGCAGGAAACAAATTACACACTTCCAAAGTGAAGCAGACAAGCAGTGAGAGTCCCACCTAGACTAAAATTTACATAAAAACTGAAATTTATAGAAACATAGACTTTCATTCTTTCTTAGAAGAAAAGTTAAGGTTGTCATATTACAGTGGTAGACACTGAATGAGGATATTTAGAAACGTGAGTCTAAAAGAATCTGCAAGATAGGAGTCACTAAGCTATACAGAAAATAAATAGCTGAAACTCTACAAATATACCACTGGTATTATTAACCTCTCACATGGCATAAATAAAATATAGGATAATCATTCCTCCCTATCTTACAGGCTATTCTAGTCTATAATCCTATAACCTTCATTAAAGATAGAAAGACACAGATGTAAAGATTAACTTGAACATTTTAATTAACTTAAACATTTTAATGTATGCTTATTCAAATACTCACTTCGCAGTTGTCTTTTTATTTCTTTTGCAGGATCTAGCCAGTTCTGTGGAAGGAAAAAGGTTAATTATCGTTAAGAAATACTTCAGAGTTCAAAATTAAACACAATTTTTGTTCACCTTTCCTTCTAACCTAGTTCTAAGCTAGAAATCACAATAAGGAATGCATTTTCACTTTCATCACCTTGAGAAAACCAGCATAAAACTATGTTAGGAAGTCACAATACTAATCTGAAAGATCAATTTAGAACATTAGCTTAAAATCATCTATGCACATAAACATTTGTTGTGCAAAACTGTAAATAAAAGATCCATACAAAATATTCCTTTTCCATTTTTCATACTTCTCTCACTCTTTGCCCCTCATTACTAAAATTCACCTTTATTCTCACTGACAAGTGCAATTTTTGAAATTAGCTAATTCAAGTAACTGTTTTAAATGGCCTTACAATGAATGACTTTCATTCATTCTAACAGGTACTTTAAATAGTACATTGTAACATCTGTGCTTAAATAAAATTTCATTTAGCTAGATAAAGCAAGCAAAATGTTTACTATCGCACAGAAGACAAGCAAGATCTACTATCTTAACAATATCTTGAAATGGTCCAAGAGAACATTGTGGTACACTATTAAAAAGTATGAACACATGATGCTTTGAAAGCAGAATTGCATGGATTCCTTCAGATTCTGCCACACTGTCCATGGCTCACACTCAAGGAGCCAAGGTGCGCATGGTTCTGTTCAAACACTGGTTACATTCAGACCCCTCAATAAAGAACTGCCAGAGCCTGCTCTAGTTTCACATTACTGGTACCACAGCTGCATGAGCCACTGCTGTGAAGGACCAGTGGGACCCTGTAATGGTACCTCCAGTGCTATGTTAGGGAACGGCTCTAATTCTCTCCTCAGAAAAGAGCCTGGCATTCAGCCCCCACGCCCTGCAGCTGCTGTCCCACACAACAGCTGGCTCGCCAACGGCCAGCTATGATGAGTGCAGAAGAATGAGAAAAACAGATCATTCAGCTTCTGGTCCAGACTGGAAAAGCTGGGGGAGAGGTGAAGAAAGGTCAAATGGGTGGCATTTCCATCCAAGGAAGTTAACTATCACAGCAAGAAAAACTGAATCAAAGGCAATTGGTGCCAAACAGAAAAGAAAAAAAATCCACAGACCATTAACACAGAGAAAGAGCAGAGAGTCAGAGAAACTGCTGCTGTTTAAGGAGGAGCTCCCAAATCTCCAGTTTCACTCAGTGCGACAGTTGACAGAGCTGCCTGCCACAGAGGACTTGTAAAGACCACCTGTTCCAGAGGACAGTGGAAGCAAATCATCATGTGTGTCCCCCACCAGCTGGTACCACATATTCACACAGACAGCACCAATCCCAATTACTGGAAAGTTGCCGCAGGGCAGCATAAAGGGTAAAGAAAGCTCTCCGGATCCAGACATACAAGCCATCAGTCTACCAGCGAAATTAATTCTTGAGCCACTTTCCACAACTTTGCCACCCAGAGTACCAAAGGCCAAAGTGGCTCCTTCCTATTTCAGACCCTTATCTGGAAAACTAAATAGGAAGAATTTACCTTGTGCAATCAAGCAGTATCAACAGAAGTGAGTCCTTCCATTCCTTCCTTGGATTTGTACTTCCACAGCACACTCACGCCCATGCTGTGTAAGCTCCATTCCTGCAAGGAGCAAGATGCCCTCCTCTTTCCCCAGGACCACAGCTTTTCAAAGCCTGGGTAGACCATCTTTTTTTCACATGAGCCAGGCATTAGGCTGTTTATGGTCACTGGTGAGTACTAAATTCGTCCCTGTCAACCCATAACTACGGTTGCTTCCATCATTTCTTCCTATGCTATGATTTTAAATGATCACAAGTCGTAAGATTTTTATCAGGGTCCGGGACAGTAGCCTAAAGGCTAAAGTCCTCGCCTTGCCCACACCAGGAACACATATGGAGGCCGATTCATATCCTGGCAGCCCCGCTTCCATCCAGCTCCCTGCTTGTGGCCTGGGAAAGCGGTGGAGGACTGCCAAAAGCCTTCCAACCCTGTACCCGCGTGGGAGACCCGGAAGTCTCCTGGCTTCAAGTCAGTGCAGTTCCGACCTTTGAGGCTGTTTGGGGAGTGAATCAGAGGACAGATCTTCCTCTCTGTCTCTCCTCCTCTCTGTTTATCTGATTTTCCAGTAAAAATAAAATAAAATCTTTAAAAAAAGATTCTGATCAGATTTATGTCATTTGAATAATTAATCAAATGTGTACCTAAGATCACATAAACTGACAGCCAGTGGCAGTATTTTCTAGAAAGCTACACTGCAGCAATGAAAATTCTTCTTGAAAACAGACATGATACAAAATACATGATCCCTTCTCATGAAAATAATGGGCACTATTACTGTCTATGTGATCTTATACACAACTGAAGTATTATCTAGCTAGGTGTTTCTAAGTTTCATCTTAATGAGAAGAATCACCCAGCACATGCTAGAAAGTTATTTATTGCTTGGCAAAAAATTTCATAAAAACCAGCAAAAATAGACTTAATGACTTAAAATAAACACAATTTTACTATGTGTATTACACATTAAATATTTTTTAACAAATGAAATAATAACAATAAACTTGAGTGTGATGTTTAAAGAGAAGGTTGAGTAATTCAATAAGCTGACGCAAAAGGAAGAAAAATTATATCAGCAAATGAGCTAAATGCATGTGGGCATGTGGACACACACAGTTACACCTACATTCTAACCCATGATACATGATAGTACGTCACCATTATGCTTTAGATGTAAAGATAGCACTGCTAGAGCCACATGTGCAAATTTTGGAATCAGAAACACATGGAGTTTGTCTCTCCACAAATTCCTGAGATGTGGGCACATTCCTTGGCTGCTTTAAGCTTTCATTTTCTCAAATGCAAACTGGGGATTACAATATGTACCCTCTTAGGATGGTTCTTTTTAACTACTGACTTATTTTAACTCTTCCCAAAGAACAAATGTTCTAGGCAATTATTTTATCTGAGGGTCTTTAACATCTCATTCTTTTGTAACAAAACTAATTTTTTTTAATCACTCTCAGGTATGAGTCATTTTTCACTTAACTTGATATTATCAAAGGTGATATGTTATACAATTAAAGGATTTTATATGACTATTTATTACAGCTAACCATTCCCTAAAAAAATATAACATGGATGTTAGGTTCATAAAATATAGTTGCAGTAAATGAGTTAGATCAAATAAAAATCAAACCCTTCTTCCTTACAGAAACCTGTCAGATAAAGGCAGTCTTTTCCATGAAGCTGTCCTTGCAAAAATTTTGCCTAGAAATAGAGATAAAACACAAATACCACGGATCCCTTATCACTAACACACTGAGCAGTATGTCTGGTCTAAGTGTTCTGATGTGCAGTTAGTGTCAGCTTCAGGTAATTCATGATCAGGCAAGAAAGAAATTTCGTCAGTTTTATCAAACTTCAAGATAAAAGCAACAAAGCAAAAGCAAAACTCAGAAGAGCTGAAATTCATGTCAGATTCAATAATTTTTACAATTTATTTGTTTGAGTTAACAGAGAGGAAAGAATAGGAGAAAGGAGGGAGGGAAACAGGGACAGAGGTAAGGAGCAAGAAAAAGAATATCTTCTGTCCTGTTTATGCCCCAGATGGCACTAACAGCCAAGAGCTGGGCCACGCCAAAGTCAGGAGCTTTGTGTGTGTCTCCCATGTGCTCACAGGGGCCCAAATACTTGGTCTACCATCTTCCACTACTTTCTCAGGCTCAATACCAGGGGGCTGGAACAGAGAAGCAGCCAGAATTCAAACCAGCATCCACATAGGATGGCAATGCTGCAATTGACAAATTAATCCACTGTGCCACAACAACTCATATTTTAATAAAATTCACCTGAGCTTATTAAAGAAATGAGAAATGCATTTCTTAGGTAACTAAGGAAGGGATATTCATTTATTCAACTTGCTAGTGTTTTTTTCCCCACCTGTCTCTATGTACCCTACTCTACATATAAAACACTAACTCAGTACATAGTTATCTCCAAATAAACATCAAATATGTAAGAAATTAACAACAGCTATGAGGAATCCTCTAACAGCCTTCCAGCAGAAGTTAATGAAAACTAAAATCTGATCCTAAAATATTAGACAGCAATAAACACAGACAAGGGGAGTGAGTTCTATTTTTATTTTCACCAATTTTTTTTTAAGATTTATTCATTTTTATTACAAAGTCAGATATACAGAGAGAAGGTGAGACAGAGAAGAAGATCTTCTGTCCAATGATTCATTCTCCAAGTGGCCACAGCAGCTGGTGCTTTGCCAATCAGAAGCCAGGAGCCAGGAACCTCTTCCAGGTCTCCCACACAGGGGCAGGGTCCCAAAGCTTTGGGCCTTCTTCCACTGCTTTCCCAGGCCACAAGCAGGGAGCTGGATGGGAACTGGAGCTGCTGGGATTAGAACCGGTGCCCATATGGGATCCTGGTAAGTTCAGGGCGAGGACTTTAGCCTCTAGGCCATGCTGCCAGGCCCAGTTTCTAACTGAAATACAACCTTATTTACTTTCTCTCTCTACAATTCCAGTGAAAATGCTGTTCTCCCCTCTATATCTAATCTGTTCTCCCCTCTAAACTCATGCTGGAATTCAGCTCTCATTATTAAGAGGGTGAAAATTTAATCTGACTCCACAGGCTTTGGAAAGTACTTAGGCCCTGATGTGGTCTGCAGGATGGAGCACCCGTGATTGAACTCCAGTGGGTGTCTAAGAAGGAGGACAGGCAGATGTCCTCCCCTGTGATCCCTGCTTTCACACCTGACACCTGCTCCTGTCATGATGCCATCCACTAGGATAATAAGTGGCTAAGGGGGCCCTCACCAGTTCTGGTGCCTTACCATTTGAACAGAAGTTTGGAAATACTCTCCAGAACCATATACCCCATAAATACTTTTTCTGTATAGCTTATCGCATCAGTGGTATTGTGTCATTAACAACAGAAAACAGATTAACACAAATACGGAATCTGTGAC